TGTGCTATATTTTGGATTGGATGATGCTGACTTGTATAGGGTGGGATTCTGGCTCCGCTGGGTTGTCGAGTTATCCTGACCGAGTTGGAGGCCTCGGCTTGAGTGCTCAGAACGGGCTGGCTGCCTGGAACTGAAGGTTACAGGAGCCGGTCGACTTGGAAATGGGGCCACTGGCCAAGGAGTTGGGGACACAAGCTGGAAATACCTTTTAGCTATGTTAGAATCGTCAGCTGGAAAAGAGAATGGCGGAATAGAGAGTGAGCATATCAAATAGCTCAGAGTTGAAATTCATTTAGACCAAAACACGGTATGCAAAGGATATGTATTCGTCTAAGAAGATCGTTCTCGTGGTATCACATAAAGAAAAGGGGAAAGGCGACCCTTGTCGCCTCCAAAATCACTTGACGCTGTCCCAACTTCACGGGGCATGGGGTATTAACTATTATTTTATCCGTATCCTTTTGGGTTTCGTCACCTCAGCCTTGCCAGGCCTGGGTGGCAGCAGCATCGAATTGGAACATCTTTGGGGTCTCCAAAAGCACAAAAGACTCGTATCGCAGTCCTCGTTCACGTTGCGTGCTTTCAGACCACTGTTCGACGGTGCTGTTCCACACGCCAGCATACCCGTCTAGCAGGGACCGCCAGTAACACGCTTTAGCGGCCGAGGTGAGGTACCGCTCGCGGAAAGTGGTGACACTGTTATTAGCGATGAGTCGAGCGCGCTCGGTATCGTTGACCAGAGGCTCGATCTTATCCGCCAAATCGCTGAAATCACGCTCAACCTCGACATAGTTTTGGTTGGGTCCATCCGCCACCAGGAGGTAATGGTGATGCTGAATGAACTGAAGCTTGTGTGCGACAATGACCGAGTTACAAGCCTGTCGGTACTTCAACGAAGCCGAATAGGAGCGACCTGGAAAGTCAAGAGTCAGCTGCTGCCTAAATCCACCGAGTCGGCCAAACTCACCTTCAACGTGCGCAATGAACATATAGTGGCAGTGATCCTCCATCTTGAGCACATTCTCACCGGTGGACCAATCGACCTGCTTGACATCGCCCCACGGTTTGCCTCTAGCGGCCTCAATCAACGCGCGTCGCAATTTCGGCGCGAAACTTGGCTTGCCCCGCCAGACCAACTGGGGCTTCTTCTCTGCCCACGGAATATCCAACCGTCTAATTCGGTCCACGACTTGGTCGTAGGGACCAATATAGTTGTTCGGGTTATCCCAAGCCCAGAAACTGAAGTCGGGCATTAGCCAGACACCTTCTTCATTAGGCGTGCGCGAAAACACCCAAACAGGCCAATCGGGATTGGTCACATCCTCCACCTTATCCTCAACAGAAAAAACAAATTCAATGTCGCGTCGAGAAGCTCGTTCCGGGTCGGCGGCCAGCGCGCGATGAATCGAACTCAACGTCCCCAAAATCTTCCGTCGGTGATCCTCGCCCTTCGACCGCGCGGCCACCACGTATAATTCGCCATTGGAGATAAACGCACGCGCCATCCCCAGTTGAACAGGAATGGTATCGAGTTCCGCAGTGGACAAGCCACCATGCTGCGACCAAAATTTGCCACCGCGCGCAATATCTTCGAACAACCCGGGGAAAGCAGCCTTACACTGCTGCTGGTCGAGGGCTTCATTGCGACCGTCGCGAGCGTATTCGAATGTCCACCCGGGGGCGGTATCGTCGTGCTGGAGACCTGTTTCGGGACAGGAGAGGCAGGTCGAGCATTGGAAGGTGGTGGAGGTTTGACAGGCGCAGTGGCCAGCGGGGATCAGTTGCGTAAGAATCGGGTGGATATAGTCTCGGTCGGAGTTCATGCCATACCAAAGCATGAAGATCACGCCGAAGCTGAGTGTCGCAATTATGCATAGCAGCGACAGACCGCGTCGCGGGCGGAGGAGGGTGTAGGCCGCCATCACGCCGATGGTTGAAGAGGAAAGGAGAGGGGCCGTGTGAAAGCCGCGGGCAAAGCTCCCGCGAGATCGCCCCATGTGCCCACTGCGGATTGGCGAGCCTTGCCCGAGACCTGTGGGTCTTGGTGCGTCATCTCTGGATTTTGGGGGCGAGGTTGTGGTGGACGTTGGGTTGAGGGTATTGAAGACAGAGACTCAGGGTAGTCTTCAACTCCAACTATAATATATCTATCGATAATCCCCTCTATAATTCAAGCACAAGAGATATCCATGGATGCCAAGACAACCTAAAAAGGAATCAGGGGGAGGCGGCGGCTTAACCGTGGACCCTGTTTTTCTCTAAATGACTAATCTTTATTCCAACCTCCTGCACTGGCTGGACAACTATACAACTGTGAGTACGAATATAACTACTGTATATCACCTGTGAAAGTGTGAAAGTGCCACAGTACGGGATCTCACAATAATATTTTACTGCCCTTGATGCCTCCCTTGCATTCCTGCGAGACCCTAGGGCGCCCACATGAGAAAATAGCCCCCAACGTATTGGGGCTAATTTCAAGTTAGGGCGAATGTGATTTGATCTATGCTGTGGCAAAGTGGACTGTGAAATCCATCCAGTCAAATGTGCGAGTTCTGGTAAGAGTGGTGCGTTTGAGACGCTAACAATGCCCTAACTAGAGTATCAAGTGTGAGTAGTGTGAGAAGGCCAATTCCAACCCCTGTCGCGCCAATTTTTTCCCCGAAGAAACGCCCGCTACAATGCATGGAAAATGACAGAACAAAAATCAGATTTCGCCGAGGATCCAATCACTGTCGGGAATGGCTTCGTCCATGTCGTATCCCCCGACTGCGACTCCCTGATGGGGCAGGTGTTTCGGTATCCATCTCTGGCGTGGCGGGGACGGCTGCGCGACGTTGTCGGCTTGGTCGTACGCGGCCCAGGGCACGTCGTAGCAGTCCATCAGCGGCGTCATCTAGATCCATTTCAACAGTATCTTCTTCGGTCTGAGGCGTAGCGTGTGCCACCTCGTCCGTCCATTCTTCTACAACGGGCTCCTGGCGCACACGTCGCCGAGACATCCCCTCTTGTGCAGTTCGGTCTTTGCCCTTGAGTTCGCGAGGCCGGTTGGAACCTCGTCGCTTGGTTGGGTTGACATGAACAGGGGTGCATGCCACGCGGAAGTCCTCTTCAAAAGTCTGGCGACCCTGCTGTCGCCCTTCCAGCGCCCAAAGTTCGAGTGCGCGGGATAGCAGAGTGCCTGCCACACCTGCACCACCCGCCGCATCACCTCCCCCACTAGCCCCGAGTACACGCACGGCTTCATGCAAGGCAGTCACTGCCTCGGTGGTGCGTCCCAGCTGCAGGAGCACAAGCCCACGAGATGTATGGAGAGAACCAGTCAACCCCCGATCTTCGTAGCCTCCGACACCAGATGCCGTGGAAACGGCAGCAGATCCACTAGGACCACCGCCTAAGAATGGTGAGTAGCCCATGCTGCTACCTCCTGCACCCACGCGAAGACATTCATCATACTCGCTAAGGGCCTCAGGAAGAAGGTCTAGCCGACGGAATGAGTGCCCCAGGTTGGCACGTGTAGCAACCCAGGCGCTGGGTTCACAGTGAAGAGAAGCAGCCAGCGCCAGCGCTTGCTGGAAATACTCGACAGCCTTTTCGAGATAGGACAGGTGATAATGGACGACGCCGAGCTCATTAAGGACAAGTGGGTCCCCGCCGACGGCGGAAATACTTGAGATCTTTGGAACCGATCCAAGCTTCGTTCCTGTCGACATGGCATAAGCGGCCGAGAGATACTCGTGTGCAAGGGCCATATTGTTCAAAGCGAGATGCTGCATACCCAGGAAGAGCTGGGGGAGATGGCTGCCCTGGAAGAGCCGGGCAGCAGTGCTGTAAGCTGCTATCGCCTGGTCATGTTCGCCCTCTGCAGCAAATGTATGCGCGAAGCCAATCCAAGCCGGGGCCGAATGTGGATCTAGTAATGAGGCCTTGGAGAAGAAGCGTCGTGCCTCTGCGACCTTGGATACTGATAAGTAGTATACTCCAATGGCCAAGTACGTGTAGGGCTCTTCCGGTGAATGATCCGCAAGCATGTGAGACAACAGGAAGAGAGCGTTTGTAGCACCGGTTTCGTACAGACAGGCCAGATGGAGCGGGTAAATGGCGGGCGCATGACCAAGGTTGTTCTGAGCAGGTATACTAGTAGTTGTGGTTGTCAAGTCAGGCGACTGTGAGGTAGAGAGGATGGAAGAGGTCAATTCCAGAGCTTCTGGGAACCGGCACTGTGTGTACAGAGCTTCAGCACGGGAGAGAAGAATGTCCGGGTTCTCTGCAAGATTATAGTGTGTGGAGAGCGTTTCGGTGGCGTCGGAGAGGATAGTGGGAGACGAGTATTTTGAGAGACGGGTGGTGTAAAGCATCTTGGTAAAGTGGGCGGCTTCTTGCGCCATCATGGGGTCGGGAGATGAGACTGAATCAAAGTCGAGCGACTCTAAGAATTCCAATTCTTCCGTAGGAGACATCAGTGAGTTCTTCATGAGTTGGTCAAACGCCTCAAAGCATTGAACGTCAATCCGTACGGCATCCTTGTAACAGTCCCGGGCACGGTCAAACGCATTCTGCTTGGAGAAGCAGAGCCCCCGTAAGTAACACATAGCGGCCTCAAATCGCACATTGTTGGCCTCATCTCTCTCACGCTCCTCAGCACGCTCACCGCGCGGTGTGGCAGTCTTCCCGTTGCGCAATGTAACATGGCTTTGGTTGTTGATGTGTTGGATCTTGCGTCTGGTGTGATTGTTGCGGATTAGGTCGGTGGGGTTATGTTCACCAAGGATGGAAAGAGCCTGATCGAACTGGTTTTGTTTAATATAGCAATGAGCAGCGAGGTAACGGCAGGCGGTGCTTCGAGAAACGAGATCCTTGCGGGAGAGGAGGGCTAAGGCGCGCGTGAAGTTGTTGTTAGAGAAATGAACTTGGGCGAGCCAGAACGCGTCGGAGTCACTGTCTTTTGCTGAGAGTTAGTATCCCTTCCTAGAAGTTGTATTACCGAGCCTCTCAATGCTTACTGGTGAGCGCCAGGACTTTGTCGCCGATGTAGATTGCGGAATCATGCTGGCCGCGGTTCAAGGCGTCCTGTCGCCAGGAACGCAAGAACCTTTCCATTGCGAAAGGTCAGACACGCAGTAACCGAGAACCAAGAGCGGTATCAGGCATGGAGATCGGAGAATAGAGCAAATGCTAGCTGCGGGCAACTTTGCTTTGGTGCATGAGCGGGTCTTTTTATTTTGAACTAAACAATGGTCCGTGCGAGGTGATGCTGGCATGGAAGCATAGAGATGTCATGTACTGCGCAGTAGAGGTCTGAGGAGTTAAATTCTCGTTCATGCCATTCGCCTGAGGGATAAATAACAGACAAAGCTTGGAAGAGCTGCAAATGGTCCTGCCTCGTCTACATACACGTGACTGATGATACACGTGACCCGATTTGATCTCCGAAGCTTTCGTTATCAACGCCACTCAATACACTTCATCTGCTCACCCTCGCCTTCACTTCTCCACTTCTCCACTTCTCGACAGATCAGTCCACCAAAATGGCTGAGCGAAAAGTCCTCACCAAGTACTACCCGCCCGATTTCGATCCATCGGCGATCGGGCGGACACCAAAGCACCTCCGCAAAAGCGGGCCGAAGGTGATCACCGTCCGGTTGATGGCACCGTTCTCGATGAAATGCACTCACTGCGGCGAGTTCATCTACCGAGGTCGCAAGTTCAACGCCCGCAAGGAGACACTGGAGGAGCGGTACCTATCGATTCCCATGTACAGGTTCTACATTCGCTGTACAAGATGCAGCGGCGAGATCACTTTCCGCACAGATCCAAAGAGTAAGTTCACGCGGCTACTATGGTTGCATAAAGCACAAAATGCTAACACTTTTCACTAGATATGGACTACGAATGCGAGCGCGGCGCAAAGCGTAACTTCGAAGTATGGCGCGACTCCAAAGACGAGAAATACAACGAAACCGAAGAACAGACACTCGACCGACTGGAGCGCGAACAAGGCGAAGAACAAGAACAGATGGAGCGCGACAAGATGGCCGAGCTCGAAGAGAAGATGCTCGACTCGAAGCGCGAAATGCAGATTGCGGATGCGCTGGACGAGATCCGTACCCGGAATGCGCGCATAGAGCGCAACGAGGCCCTCGGCGAGGAAGCTGCTTTGGAGACTGTGAGGGAGGATATTGATGAGGAGGCCCTTCGAGCAGAGAAAGAGGATGAGGAGGCTGCTCGCAAGGCGTTCATGACTTCTTCTGGCGAGAGAGTTAAGCGCATTGTCGATGAGGAGGATACACCTGCTGCTGGGGTCGAATCGAAGGCATCGGCTGCAGCGACACCACTTCCAGCTATGCCGCCTCCCTCGGCATCCTTTGCCAGAGTTAAGCGGCCTAAGAAGGGCGGTGTTAACAGTCTGGGCATCAAGAAGAAGCCATCTCTGGTTTAAAATCGAATACAAACCTTCGCCGGCTCAACCTTTGAACAGGAGTTTTGGTAGCATTTACGCAATTACGAATTCAGGATTACTTTGGGGCGTTCGGGTCTAGTTACAATGTCAATGCTACAGCTATCTACGGCACTGGAAATCAATTAAGCGAATGAATACATTAAGAGCTAATAATAGTCTGAACTTCTAACAAAGGCATCATATAACTATTAAAACAAGAAAGAAATCGGTATCACAATCATTGTAACATGAAGCAAAGTCGCGCACCTCGAAGCGCCACGCTTAGAAAAGCAAATCCCAGACAAAACCCCCGCTTGAGAAAACACACGATAGCCATGCATAAAGAAACTCTTTGCCAAATGGCAAAAGCGGAAACAAGCAAACCGCTCAGAGATATGGCATCCACAACGCATCGCACGAAGCGAGGTGCTGAGGGTTGACTGCCTTGGAGATCAGGTCGATGGTAGTCTGATTTGCAGGCAGGTTGCCCTCTGGAGGACTGGCAAGACTGACAGCACGGTTTACGATGATCTCGCTGTTATTGTAGACTAGATCGCGCAGTTGTCCCACTGGGAGGGGACTGCGGTGCTGTGCGGTAGCCCAGAACATCATCTCGTCGCGCACGAAGACGCTGAGCTGTTGCTCCAGTTCGTGGCGTGGCTCTGTCAGGCAACGGGCAATTGCCATCATTGCGCAGGCGAAGACACCCTCAGTTGCAATAGGACCCAGGAAGGTTTGGATGTTGGGTGTGAAGCGGAAGGGTACTTGCTCGGGGTTGTAGAAGAACGCCTTGGCAGGGTTGATAGTGGGGATCAATTCGGCACCCCAGATGTCACCAGTCGAGCGAGATACCAGAATCTTGTTGGGATATCGGTTGCCAATGTGCATCACATAGGTCATGAAAGCCACTGCCGCATATTGGTAGGCGAATTGGCGACGGAACAGCCAGAAGTCTGAGAAGTTCGGGTATGTCTGCTGGAAGTATTCCAACATGACAGTACTGGGGACCCATTTGTCTTGAATGGCGGTAAGGATTTCCGTGCGAAGAATCTGCTGTTGATCGGTCGAGCGCTGCGAAGGATTAGTTTGGGTTTCAACATGGGTAGCTGGAAAACTCACGTTCTGCTTTGTCTCTGCCAATGACCTCATCTTGTCCATTGTGAAGAGCACTGGCTCATCCTTGTTCATTCCCATTCTTCGGCAGTAATCTTCATAGATACCCTGCATAGAGATGTATGAAGAATCATCGCGAACCAAGCGAATGTGTGGTGCCAGTGGAACCATGAGCGGCAAGTGGAAGTACAAGTTGCGGCGGCGACTCTCCTTGCGCTTCGCGAGCAGGCCATTGAAGATCCGGAACAATTGAAGAATGCGCTCCTCGCGTCTGCAGTGGCGGGCGGCGGGATGTTGGACGGCAAATGCTTGAACACTGCCGTCGTGTCCTCGAATCTTCAACCTGCGGTGACAGACACCAATGCCGCGGACCAGGTCCACATCGGGAAGGAAACGGTCGATGCGTACAAAGTCCTGGTTCTTGTCCTTGTGGAGTAAGTACTGGCCAGGGACCTCAACCTCATCGAACTTGAGGAAGCGGAATTCACTGAGATGCGGCGAGTAGCTCTCGAGGAACCCTTGCTGAGGACGGCGATCGAGCTTCTCCTCGAATTTGTCACGCCAGCGCCGGAGCTTGTGGATGTACTCGTTCATAGTAGGCTTCTTGACAACAAAGTCCGCCTCGAAAGATTTGCGGATGTGAGCCGGAAGAATGGTCTCTGCGAAGCGAGTAATGTTGGCCTCAGTGGCAGCAGGCAACTTGAAGTCTTGGGCGTAAGACCCTGGCATACGACCCACGTAAGCCAGGCCATCGTTCAGAAGAGCAACAATGAGACGGTAAGCATCCTCATCGGGTGGACACTTGAAGTTCTTGTGGATCTGGTCAACCATGGTCTCCATAGAGAGAGCAAGCAAGGGGAAGGCAGTCTTGAGTCCCGACATGATCTCGTCCGAGTACTCCCATGGTTTCTTGAGAGGCTCCTTCTCGTCCGTTGCAGGTGCAGCAGGGTTCTGAGGGGTTCGGTTTTGACCTGGGACTTGCAAGTGAGCTTGATCCGGAGTCTGGCCAGCCTGTGGACTTTGACCTGGCCCTGGACGAGGCGATGCCTGAACAGAGTTTTGAGGCTGGGCTGGGGACTGGCTCTGCGGCGGCACAGTGTTCTGTGTAGCCGGCGAGTTCGCAGGAGGGACTGATGGTGAAGCATTAGCACCTGCGGCAGCCTGAGCCTTCTGAGCAGGTGAACCATCCGCACCAGGAGTGGCCTTGACACTTGGCGATGATCCTTGCTGCTGTTGTCTGGCCCGGTTGATCTTCTCTTGCTTTTGGTCATGCTGTTTCTTGATGCTTAGCATGTCCTCTCGGTTGGTACGAAGCAAGAAGAAGAGAGCCTGTGGGTAGAGCTTGGCAATCTTAACCAGAACAGCCTTGCAGAGGCGAGCCTCACGGTGAGACAAGCTGGTAAGAAGCTGCGGAATGAAGGTAATCCAGTACCACACCGGGGTGTCTCCCTTGAAGTTCTCGAAAGCACTTGCAATCTTGCCTTCGTCGTTGTCCAGGCTGAGAAGCCATAAGATTCTGCTGAGCAGCTTCCGGGACTTGGCACTCTTGTAGAGACCAGCCGCCTCCAAGTAGCAGCTGACTGCATTGCTGGCCAGCTCGTAGTCAGTTGGGTCAGCCTTGAACCGCTGGTCACTGTATTGCCCCCACTCAGACCAAGCCTTGGCAAGGCGGAGGTCGTAGTAGAGGGCAACACCGAACGCCTCATTTGCCTCGTTGACATGATCCAGTTTGGCAAGGAACATACCCTTGAGGGTGTAGAACTCTGCCTTCTGCTGCGGTCCGAAGTAGTTGAGGTTGGTGTTGTTGATCACATCCAACCCGCTGTTCAACTCCTTGGGATTCTGGTAATGACACTTGGCTTGCTCCCGAAGCTTGAGGAAGGCCTCTTGGATTTCAATGTTCGGGAGGGTGTAGATGCGGCTGAGCTGGTTTATACAGACCTCTGGCATCTGGTGCTTACGAGCCACATGGGCGAAGCGATTGATAATCCAGGCTGTTTCATGGTATCCTCGGTAGGCATATGAATTGCTAGCCACATTATTGGTTTGTGGGGGCAACAGACTGAGGTAGGTGCCATTGATCAGCTGGAAGATGTGTTGACGCCAAGTGACAAGGTCCTGCCATGTATTGATGTCGTCCCAGAGATTGGGCAGACGGTCCCGCCAGGTTCCAAGCAAGAGCTTGAGTTCAGCAGACTTGGTGTCCAAGTTCCGCTCGTTGGTTTGAGACAAGCTTCCGCAGATATGACTGGCATCATGCAGCTCGACCAAGAGTTGGAAGTGCTGCAGTATCGGGATATGGGCGTTCGTGATACGCTTGGGCAACTGCAGCCACTTCCGGATCGAGAGTTGAATGGACTCGTCGCAGACGCTGTTGAAGTCTTGAATGTTCTCCTTCTTCGTGTGGTATTGAAGCAAAGCCATGAAGGCCTGGAAGAATGTGCGTCTGGGTGTAGGAGCATCGGAGACGGACTTGATCAATGACTCAAGCTGCTCTCGGTTTCCTTCACTCTGCCAGTTCTCAATGTTTCGCCAGGCCGACTCCAACAAGAGGTCGTTCAAGTTCTCATGTTTGGCAAAGTCGCTGAGAATCTCCCACTGCTGGAGCTTCTGGGCGCAGATCAACCAGTGGTCTTCCCATACAAAGTATTCACCCTGAGAGAATGGCATGGCGCCGGAACGAGCCTTGATCTGAGCGTTCTCGTATAGCTGCTGAGACTTGTCCCACATTCCTTGCTGCTCATACGAAAGCGCAGCATTGGTTTCGACAAACTTGCATCGACGACGCCATGTTCCGTAGAAGAAATCGTCTTCTTGCAGACCTGCGTAAACCTCAACGAGGGCATCGAGGTTACTTTCACGCACCGTAGGTGTGTCGATGATAGGATCGATGGCGGTTTGTTCGAGGTAGGTAGCAGCGGTATACCAAGCGTCGTAAGTCCGACTGAGATACTTCACGACATGGGGAGGGATCTTGAACCGAGGACGAGCACGGACGGTGCCCTCAAGAAGAGCTTGAACAACATTGGGGCGCTTATCGAGCTGTCTGTGGTGGTACTCGCGAGTGAGCAATGTGACCATATCCTTCTCGAGGTCAATGCAATCCTCCTTCGACAATGTGGACCAGAAGATAGGGAAGAGCGTAGTCCACAGCTTGTAGGCAACATTCGAGTCGGTGTGCTGGAGCTGGCACAGAGGCTCAATTAAATCCCGAGTTCTGACGTCGCCAATGTCCGACATGAACTTCTTGCGTTCAGCGACAAAGGTTTCAAGCTGGCTGTCGACCATGATATCAGCCTTTCTGGGGTCCTTGTCGGCGCTGCCAAAGAGGAATGACACAGGGAAGAGGGTGAAGTCTTCGTGGTGCAAGCGGGCAGTGGTGTTCATGTCGACACATCCAAGCACCAAGTGCGATGCTTGTGCCAGCCAGAAAGAGTCGGCAAGAGTATCCCAGTTTTGACAAGTCAGGACATAGCTGAGGCGCGAGCTTGCAAGGCGGGTCAAGCTTCGATCAAAGATCTGCATGAACCGATTGCGCATTTCAACATCTTGTGCTCTTGCGCCGATGAGAAAAGCATGCTCCAAGCGGACTGTCAGTTCGGTACGAGTGATCTTGGAGTCCTCATAGATCCGAATGACGAGATCAAGGAACTTCTTCAGCATCGTCTGATCAGGTCGAGATTCGAAAAGTAGCATCTTGTGTAACACAGCTGTCTTTTCCTTCAGGGTCGGCCAGGACTCGGTAGAATGGAAGATCCATGACTCGGCCATACTTAAGATTTTGCTGCACAGCTCGATGTTCTGTGAGCGCTCGACAATCTGTGCCAGAACGCTGAGGAACGGGCGCCGCTGGTCACCAAGATGAGACATGCGAACAGAAATGAGTTCAATAGTCTTGAGAATGAGATCGACACCCAGCTCAAACTCTTGCTGGTCGGTAGTGGGAGTGCCTTCAGCAGGCTTGGCGGCGCCGTTCTGGAGCTGGGCGCCGTTCTGGGTGGATGCAGCAACATGATCCTTTGCCAGCTTTGTAGAGAACGCCTTCATGACAGCGGGAATGTGGGTATCAATCTCAGCCGGTTTAATCTTGGAGAGCGTCCACAAAGTATTCAGGCTTGAGACGTAGTTGTTGGCTGAGAGCGTCTCTGTCGCGATGGCAGACAAGTAGGTAGCAAACTCCGACGGTGCGCCTTCCGTATCCATGGCATCCTCGTCATCTGGCTGTTCATCGGGAATGGCCTCCAGGACATAACGAACAGGAGGCGGCAGCTTGTGAACAATCTCCATGTCATCTTCTAGTCCATGTAAACAATCCTGAACCTCGGGGTTATCCGACTTCAGAGGCTTCTCGAGAAGTTTCTGGATGGTAGGGAGACGAGCGGCGATCCACTCGTTTGGCTTGGTTGTGATGAGGACTCTCAATACCTGCAGTGTGTTGACCATGTAGGTAATCTTGTCCTCAGGCTTGTCGCCCTTTTCTCCAACCAAAATAGGCTCAGTGACCTTTTGATATAGGTCAATGTCGAGATCGCCCCAGTATTCAGGTGAGAGAAGGCTGCGAAGCAGGTGAATGGCCTTGTTAATCATTTCACCGGTAGGCACAGGGTTTTGCTGCTTGGACGTAGGCATTGAGCGGATTTGAGCAGCCGGAACAGAGAAACGTTCGGGGATGGTAGTGATGAAAGTGATGAGGTATTTGATCAATGCCGCACGTAGATCGGTGGGCACTGTGTAGTCAGAACGTTCTCGGCTGCTCGGGGGTCCAAGGGCGGGAGATGGCGATGGCTCCTGAACTTCATCCAATTTGCGCTTTCTTGCCACTGGAGACTCAGAGTTCCCGTTGGTCAAGCTGTGAGACTCGGCGTTGTGCGCCCTCTTCTCTTCCCAGTGCCAGATCAAGCTGATCAAGTTGAGCGCCAGCTTCTTGCTGTCGTTAGAAGTGTTGGGTGGGCCTGTGATCTTGATCAGGGAGGGAACGATAAGAGGCACAAAGTGCTCCCTTGATTCGTAGAACAGATCCGGCTGCCGAACCAAGAACTGGAAGATGCTCATCACCTGCTGCAAGTTGGCAGTCTCCTCAGCCAGGATACGACGAGGCCATTTGGCCCACAGTGGGTACCGTGCCTCTGCTCCTGAACTGTTGGCTGTCCGCGTGGGGAGGACAGGAGCCAAGACATCAAGAGCCTGCGTGACAAGGGCTCGACCTTCGTTCTGGTGAGCTCTCAGCAGAGCGACATAGACCTGGATCACAATCTTGAACGGTGTTTCATAGTGTGCAATGAAATAACTGATCAAGACGTAGGCACCATACTTGTTAATGATGTCCTCAAGTCGAATGTAGTTCCAGGCGAACTTGATGATGTCTTTGCGGGAGTCTTGCACCGTTTGGTGATGGTATTTAATCAACAAAGCGGATAGCTGGAGCAACTCCATGCGCGAATGATCAACACCGGCTTGATTGGACTCCTCGCTCAAATCCGCGAGCTGAGGCTTCCACAAACGGCTCTGAATGGACTCGGTCATGCTCTTATCCATCAACTTGGGGGTGTTGGGAGGGCTGTTCCAGGTAGCCTTGACGTCCATAGCAAAGATGGGATTCACCAGGTGACGGAAGGCATAGGTCTTGGTCTTCTGTGGGCAACTCTTCTGGCCATAGAGATCGAGACAACGCATGATGACAGAGCGACGGTAGTCAATCGACTCGTTGGAGATTATGCTGCGGTAGATGAACTTAGGAAGAGCGAGAGTACGCTTTAGTTCGTCAGCAGACAAACCATCAATGACCTCGAACAGGAAGTCCAAGTCGTGGGTAGCCTCAGCCAAGTACAAGGTGAAGATGTCCATCAACTGGTCCTCGGCCTGTTCCACTCTGAGTCGCTCATCAGCCGGCAGACTGTCACCCCGAAGCTTCCTCTCCAGGTCCCTTCCAGAAGTCAAGAGCTTGGTTCTCATCTCTGCATGCGAGACCAACCAGCGCTTGGTTGAGCTGTAAGAACAGAGCGAGTGTGAAACATAGATACCATTGATGGCAGCAGTGTTCTTGCCATCACCAGAATCTTGGCCAAAGGCAGCAGCAGAGAATCCTTCAGTGTCGGCCACGATTGCATTTCGTAACCCTTCACTTTCGGGATCAGCAAGGATCTGTCCGAAGAATCGTCCAAATCGCTCATCCTTGAAGCGCGCAAAGAAGAATGCGAGACTCTCCTTCGGGTAGCGATTGAGATACTTGACAAGCGGCTTCCGAAAGGGACTGTGTGAAGTGCGACGCAGCTTCAACTCGAGATCCATGACTTTGTTGACAAGGTGTTCCATGAATGAAGTAGCAGCAGGAGGGAGGAGATGGAAGATATTAAAGATGGCAGCAACAATCTTCATGGCTGGGTTCTGTTCAACGAGACTGAACGACACTTTCGCGAGAACAGTATCGTCTGCGATCACCTTCATATGATCAAGCAAACGAGCACCGATTTCAACCTTGAAATAGTTGGTGAGTAGTGTCAAGAGGCGAGCAAGACCGTCCAAACCAGCGACGCTGAGACGCTTGGGATCCTGAAGGTTCATGAGAATAGGGCGCAATCCATTCTGCAGGAGATCTTTAGGAAGCTTGTTCGTTTGTGTGAGGACGTCTCGAAGACCGGCATTTGCTGCTTCAATGACCTCCTGTGACCTGGAGTATAGCGATTTGAAGAAGACCGAAATAATGCGAGCACGGCTAGTATTCTGCGGTGTGTTGGCAAATTCAGAGAAGCTCATTGCCATAGACAGGAGACGAAGACAAGCAACGCGTAGATTCACGATCATATCTGCGTTCTTGAACTCATTCGGCTTGGACGCGAGAGATTCATCGTCAGCGTCGGCAAGGGCAAGAGACTCCAGCATCAATCGGTTGAGGGGCTCATTAAAGGTGACGATGTCGTTGTGAAGGCTGAGGCAGTACGTGATGGCATCGATGAAGCCAATCTGCGTTGGGAAGGGTAGAGCACGCAGTGGCTTGTTGAAAATCGACTGCAACAGGCGGTCTTTCACTGGCAGGATCAGCTCATGTACCTCACAGCCAAGCACTTCCTTCAATGTGGTGAAGCAACGACGAGAGGTCTCTCGGACATGCTTGTTCATATGCCCGAGCTCGTAGACGAAGAAGCCACAAAGGGCATACAAGCGGCTCTTTTCGTTCTTCAAGTCTTCCTTAGGGATGAGCTTGCCGCACTTCTGAAGTATCAAGGACATGGTCTCCTGTGACTGAATGCGTGTGGCAGCAGGCAGGTCCGCGGGGGTGTCCTTGATGACATACATCAAAGCCCGAGAGAACTCGACATGCCGCTCATAGAGCCATGACTCTCCCAAGTCCAGCTTGGTCGCGAGCAAGTTGATACCGAGACTTCCACCCGCTTTCGTGAACCATTCTTCACTGTGGCAGCTGTGACAAAAGACACGGCCCAGGTGCTGGAAGAATGGGAGTTTAGCGGCCTTCTCGGGGGAGCCAAAGATAACGCCCGCAGCATCCCTGACAACCAGCATGGCTTGCTCGGCAGCTTCCCGGACGTGGACCTCATCAGATGACAGACACTCAACGAGAGCCTCGGCCAGAATCTTTGAGTCGAGGTAAACGGGACCCTCGCCACTTGCAACATCAAAGGCCTTGCGACCATGTCTGGCTTGCGCTAGTGCACGGCCAACCTCAAGAAGAGCAAAGTGCTTGCAGACATCAGCCACGAAAGCTGTAGCAGCCGGCTCAAGCTCGGGGATTGTTGTGGCAAAGATGCAGGCCTTGAGCAGCTTCTTCACGATTGCTTCCTGTGCCACCTTCTTGGGAATGGAGGCTGACCTTTCGGACTTATCAAGAATGTCAGCCATGGCACCAGGCTTGTTGTCGAAGAGATCATTTGCATGGAGTCTAATCAACGTTGCCAGGTCGTCAGGAAGGTTATCGTAGCCGATTTGAAGCTTGAGGTGGGAGCTGAGCATACGGTATGCCTGCTGCTTGTAATAGATGTCCGAGGCTTTGGCGGAATCAGTCTTTGGAACCTCCATGAGCTTGCCAGCAGCAAGGTCAATGCCAATATCCACAGGGAAAGGTCGCTTCTCGTTGGGACCGATAAGCCTGATATCAAAGCTTGGGTTGTCATCAGAGTACTGCTGGAACGACAGCTCTGGTGGGTGGTTGAGGAACTTGCGGTTACGTCCACCCAGCTTGCCTAGGATACGCATGGTAGTGTGTGCGTGGAAGTGGTTGTATGGATGGGGGCGGAGGTGGTCCCAGAGTGCAGTCATGAGCTCGTCCATAATTGGAGCCATGATTGGGTCGAGGTAGTCGGCAGTGAGGTTATCCACGCATAGTTCCAGGGTACGCAAACCTTGGCCAACAAGGTCTGAATCAGCACGCAAGGCCACCACGATGGGACGCATTAGGTAGCTAAGATGAGGGAGAAGATGGCTCAGGCGGGCGGGAACGGTGAGGGTAAGTTCAACATAGAGGTCTCGTTCTTGCGGCTTGCGGGCGGCAAGTAACAAGTTGTTGAACGTTTCGAGGAGCATCTCGAGGAGTGGGAGAATCTCCTTGTAGAGAAGCTCGAACCGGCCCCCACCAATGCTTCGGAAGAGGGAGCGCAGGAGGAGGAAATAGTTCATGGGCTCCTCTGCTGTGACAGAAAGCTCAATACACTTGGTGACTATTTTTGTCACATGGGGATGAAGCACCTGCTCGTTCTGCACGGAGAACAGGGTCACAGCCATGAAAGAAAGCTTGAACATCCTTAAGAGAATCTTGGCCTTTGTCATATCTGATGTCCCGACTTCATCAATGCGTTCCATGAGGTACTGTAATACCATGCCGGAGAATGCGGGAGAGGTGGCTTCACTAGCGAGGAAGAACTGTGGCAAGTGAAGCAGAGATCCATGTTCGAACATGAGCTCGTGAAGGTATGGTATTTCAGAGTGGAAGACCTCATGGAATGTTGCGGTGTCAATGCAGTGGAAGACAGTGCCAAAGCTTTCCAGAAGCTCCTTCTCTTCACGCGACATCGGTGCAGTGTACTGGCTTGCCAGGAAGTCAAATGGAGATGAGTAGTTCATATCGGGCGGAGACTGATCGACTCCATAGTAACGGAATACACGAGCTCCCTCGTGGAAAAGTTTCTTGATAACGCGGACCTCCTCGGCATTGTAGCCGTATGAGACTTCAGACCAGTTGATGGGAACGCTGTTCGGGTCAATCTGAACATCATCGGGATTGCAGTTCTTCAACTGGCGGAATATGTTCTTGAGCCCGTTGATCAAGTTCCTGAACAAGAAGATGTTGTCCGAAACAGGGTCACCACCACGATCGCGTGGGCTCGAAGTCTTGATAGGAGAAGCGGAGAAGATATCAATTTCATCCCAGTCAGGTGGCTGGTCCTTCTCCGCGAGATAGTTTTCAGCGCATGGCTCTGTTTCCTTCCGGTAGACCTTGTACGCCTTAGATACCTTGACAGCGTTGTTGAACTGATGGTTCATCGATGCAAACTTATCACCAATGGCATCCAATATCATAATCAAGAAATAGCGGGCTTCGCGCTTGTCTTCGAGCTTGGAGATGTTCTCTGCCATGTTCAGGAGGAGTTTCGCACTCATGGTCTGGAAGCTTGTGCCAGGGAAATCGTCGTGAAGGTTCTTCGTGTAGACCTCAACGGTGCGCCGGATTTGATCACGACTGAGATGGTCGCGAACATGGTGAATCAGATCAGCCAGCATGCTATAAGCCAACGGTCTCATCGTCTCGTAAACGGTGAGGCCGTCTCCAATGAGAGTTCGCTCATCCAAAAGTTCGTCGATCTTCTCGAGGAAGATCTTGCGGTAGTTGAAATTGATGATGTGACGAATGGCGACGAGTAACTCCTTGCGTGCACCTGACTTTTCTCGTGGGCAGTCTTGAAGAAGTCGCACAACGACGGAAGGAAGAGTAGGAAGGAAATCCTGGAGCTGGTGGGCATATAACCTCAATAAATATGCCAAAAAGCTCATGGTCTTCACCTGGGCCGTGATGAACTCTCCAAATGCAGCGCGGTTCTTGATTTCCTTGCATACGCCAGTAAATATCGTGCCCTGCGCGGCAGCCTCTGCGTGTGCCTTTTCCTGTGGCTTGGCCTGGAGCAGCAGGATTGTCTTGATGAGAGGTACAAAAAGCTTGACGTTCGCCGAAACGGATGCACGGTGTGTCTGGAATATCGAGACGACGATGATGGGGCACTCGGCAAGAACCTTGAATGACTGCATTCCCTTCAGAAGGACATTGCTCGACTGCTGGTCGGGTCCTAGATCTGAAACTGAGGTGGCAGGCGAGCTTGGTCGAGGCGACTGGAAGTTCTGTGCCGTTGCATTGGGCGTGGATGGCATGCCGGAGGGTGTCGCTTGGTTTGGAGTGTCGAAAGTATCCCGAACGACCTGTTCCATGGTCTGGAACATCTCTTGAATCAGTTCCAAGAAAGCTTGCACCCGGTGTGCAGTCGCCTTTGCTTGGTTCCGCTCCAAATCCATGATTGTCTTCATGCATAGCACTGCGTTGTCCTCGTTTTCGATCCGCGCAAGCTCCATCAGCAAGTCCACCATGTCAACAGCATACGGTTCAACGTCGGGGGAGCCCATGGGTAATCGGTGTAGCGTCTCGAGGATGCAGTTTCGTAGTTTCTGTAAATGCGGGTGGTGGTTAGTTCAGCCGTGCTATATATGTACATTTTGATCGAGAACGAATCCGTTTCCGAATGGAACGAAATTATCTCACTTGTTCATAAGACATGCTGAAGAAGACCGGGTCTCCCTTCAGGATAGTCTTGAACACCGGCCATAACTTCGATAAGAAGATGGGGTAGCTTGCGCCCGAGCATAGGGGCTCAATGCTGTCTCGTAATTCGGTAGCAACATTAGCTCTGACTTTCACGTCTAGTGAGAAGGACAGGTGGTTAGCACGAGGACGAGGTGACTGGATGGGCCAGTGAGCTCATAACGTACCCAGCTTCTCGTCGCCGAGCTTGCTGGCGTAAATCTCAATATTCCTCTCCATCCTTGCGATCGCACCCTTGGAAAGGGCTGGTCTCTAAAGAGAAAGAAACAGCAATGACGGCCGGGCCAAGAGGCCGGCTGAGAAATACAGAGTGTGCGCAATCTTCCCGGGGGAAAATTGGACTCTCATGTGTTGAGTTGTGGTGTCAGGAAAGCTGTGTGGACTCAATCGATTTGCGAAAAGATGGATGACGGGTAGGGCTTAAGGAAGGCAGTCATCAAGTCATTGAGTCTTCCAGAAAGAAAAAAAAATGCCTAGTCCATTGAGCGAAAGAGAGTTCGGAAGGCCAAGGAGTGTATCGAAGTACCCCGCGGGGAAGGTGGTGAGGGAGATTGGAGGGAGTTGGAGGTCGCGCGATATTCACGAGAGCAGAACAGAAGACGCGGGCTATCGCAGAGACCCCGAAAGAAACACTAGTCCGCTTTAGGCAACTATTTCGGCACTGGTTGATCCGCTCCGGGCCCCTGCTATACGAACTACGAACACAAGGTATTTTCCAGGTGGTTTTGGGTTCAGTTATTTGTGATGTATGTGTCAATATATGATACTTCAATATTGTCTCTCGTCACTCCAGTGACTTGCTACTCAATAACGCTTTACTTCTCAATTGGGGCATCGAAATACCTCAAGGCAATGTCAGATCCTAGAATTGGTCTAAAATAGTAGAAGAGAACAGAAAGAGAAAAACACAACACATAGACAGCCATCGCCATCATGGTCGATGGATGGAAACGCCATTCGCACCCGTTTTCCATACCCGAACACGGTTCTAAGACTGGCTCCAACCCAGCATCCGCTCACTTGATCACGAAATGCGAGAGGAGCCAGTCGCGGAAAGGAAAATATCAAAAAGTCCATGTACACAAAAGAAAAAGAAGATAAAAAGGGCAAAAGGCACAGGTAGTTGGGCATCAGTCCGGGCGAGTATCGCCGAAATCAAAAGACAAAAAATATTGTTGCCCATAGTCGCTATGCCATCGCAGGAGAAAATCAACGGAAATCACATGTCCATCAGCAGCCCATCCCCTCCGAGACATTATTTGGTAGAGTTGCTTCGATGCAAGATCTGTACATTGGTGGCACTGGTACCGCTGCCAACCGATCGTCGTCGCGGGCGAATCTCGCTGCCGCTACCGCTCCGTCGTCTCCGGCCACTGCTTCGAATGGAGCCTCGGCGTCGTGTCTGGAGCAAACGGACGTTTCCACGTTAGAATCACGCTGGCTGTACATGGGCGGACGCGGTCTCTTAGCAAAAGACAAATACGAGGGCAACAGAGCCAGACACAAAGGATAAAGACCGCATAGGAACGCACGGATCTGGGCAGCAGAGCAGCACGTATCAGAGATGCACAGAACTTACCGAATTTGGGGTGCCCTCCCGACTGGGTCGCTCCTTGGAGATATCGGGTTCCTCCTGTAATTTCAAAGTGTTCAACCGCTTTTGGCTCTCGTGGGTCATGGCCTCTACTTCATCGATAGGCTCCGGAACATCTAGGGCAGGGGGTGGTGGGGGAGGAATGCCATTCTTCCGGTCTTTAGCTTGTTGCTCTATCATGTCCCACCGATCTGTGCGTGTCTTCTCGCGTTGATCTGCGCTGTTCTGGTGCTCGGTATATTCGTGGGAACATTCATCGAAGAGCTGGGGGTTAATCTCCATGAACATCTTCATGGCGTTGTACACCATGCTGTGAATTGTTCTGCGAGGGTCAGCTGATGATCGTTTGGGGAAGTATGTCAATCTTACCGGTTCCAATGTCCCTTTGAGTTCTCGTAAAGGGGGGCGAACATGATGGGGAGAATGGTCTCCACATTGTCACTCACGAGGTTGCAGAAGTACTCGTTGTTCCAAAAGTACAAAGCACGTTCAGCCACCTGGAAATGAGGGCTAGCAACAGACTTGGCCAGTTGATGGAAAAGAGGCTCTTGGACCTTGGCAAATTCACCTGGATCCATCACCTCGAAGATATCTTCCACCTCATTCAGATACATAACCTCCTTGGTGCTGTTTGTCTTGGGCCAGAAGCGGAGCAAGCCAAGAACAACCTGGAAAAATCATTAGTACTGGCGTTGGAAGCAACTGGACATCAGGGCTTACATCTTCGGTCAATGTGGAGTCTTTCTCCAGGAACTGCACAATACAATAGGCCAGCTGTGGGTGGTACATGCTGAGGCTCTTTACCTTGTGCATTGGGAGGAGGACTCGAGTCAGGAACAGCTTGTGTTCTTCCTTCAGCGGCAAGGCGAATCCGTTGATAATCGAACCCAAAATTTCAAGCAGTTCAGCGATACCGTTGTGTCGTTCAGTCTCGTACATGAACTGGAAGAAGACGTTGTTGATAGATCGTCGGATATAAGACCGCAGGTTCAAGAATTTGCCATAGATGCGATGCAATGTCGTCTTCAAGAAATCACGTTCCCGTGGGTCTTCCGAATCAAACAGATCAAGCAACTAGATAAGGTTAGTCATTGGGTCATGCATACAACAAGTAATGTGGAAACATACAGAAAGCACAAACTGATGGTCGATGTATCCCTTTGCAATGTTGGTGTTGAAATCCTGGCTCTCGATGAATCTCAAGAAGAACTCATACACAACCTGAATATGAGGCCAAGCAACTTCCAACACGGGTTCATCCTCCTCTGGGTCAAATGCTTCGCCCTGGGGCGTCATAGGTGGAGGGATGGGGCGGAACAAGTTCTTGGCAAACATCTCGACCACGCGGGGGTACATAGGTTCCGTAATGACCGACCGGTTATTGGCAACATAATCCAAGAGCTCATGAAGTGCCAGCCTCTTGATCTCCTTGGACTTCATATCGGCTGTGGGGTCGTTAAAGTCGAAGATGATATTGCACTGGTCGATCTTTTGCATGAACAAGTCTTGTCGGCGATTAGGAGGCACTTCGTGGAAGCCCGGCAGCTTCTCCAATTCTCTCTGGCGCTGATCAGAGATATCAAAGCGAGACGAATGCTGGCGTTTGGGGGTTCGAATTCCTTCCGAAATGTCCTTTGGTGTGGTCTGTAGCCGGTCAAAGACGTGAGACTTTCTCGGGGGTGCGAGGTCTCCGGGCATCGTTTCAGCGGCTCCAGGGGGAGGAACATGCTGTGAAATTTGAATTGTTAGAGATGTAGATGTGGCCACAAAACGTTTGGCTTACCGGTGCACTTGGGCTGATGATGACACTAGGAGCTACAGGCTGCCCTTGTCTAGTGGGGGTTCCTGGTCCATTGCTTGCGGGCTGAGCTGCCACGCCAGCTTGACCTATATGGTGTTGGACTGGAGTGCCGGGGTGAGGCGCGCCCGCAGCAGCGGCTCCGGCGGGTGAGGCATTGTCCGGAGATTTGTTTCGCGAATCGTTCAAGGAAGTTGTGGACGAGGTGGGGGTACCTTGGTTGGGGGATGAAGATTGCTGTGTTTGGTGAATGCCGAGCGATGCCTGGTTCTGGGAGTTGGAATCTTTCTTTTTCGAGGACTTGTTGGCGTCTTTCGCCCGCGACAACTGCTCATGCTAAAGGTACAGAGTTAGTTGAACGTCAAGCTGAGTAAGGGGCTGCCCGCGTGCTCAAGAGGGATAGGAAGTGATCGTGCAATAAGATGCTCGGGGAAGGGTTGGCGGGTAACTCACCACTCTCTGTCTGAAACCCTTCATTTTGACGACTATGTAGATAGCCACATGTACTCGGCTAGGATTCTCGGTGCCAGTGCAGCAAGGCGCCGCACTCTAGCCAGAGTGAATCGAGGGGTGCCAACGGAGAAGGCCGCTCAGGATAGCCACGAGGGGGGACTTGTTTGTACCTAATAGGAGAAACTGATGAGCCGTCCGGGTCACACAACATGTTAAGTGGCTAGTCTCAAGTGAATGACTCTGGACTATATTGGGACCGTGCGGTTCTCGGAGTGGAATCCAAGCCTCAATGGCAACAGCACCAAGCGCTCTAAACAGAATGTAGTCGCAGCACGCGCACGGGGCAAGACGTCTCGGTTGGAAAAAAGGGCGAACAGGCCATGGGAGATGGACATTCGATAAGACATACCTCCGTAGCTTCGAGGTGGATAATTGAGGGTTCGAGTGTGAGGATTGCCGGGAGTAGGTGTTGGTATCGGACGGAGGTGCTTGGTTGGATCTCCGTGTCGCTTAGTGGCAGGCTGGGAGCGGGGGGTTTGGGAGCACCAGGGGAACAGCACTCAGGTCGCAGCCCAGGGTGAGATCACGAAAAACGAATTCCGAGGAAGTCACCGAGCAGGCAATGTACAAGAGATCAAATAAAGATGATGGTTGTAGGGAGGAGGAAGGGAAGTGGATTGTTGTTGAGGTGTAGGGAAAGGCGGGCTGGTTCTCCTGGCTGTGATGGTGATGAGAGGGGGACCACCAAGTACTCTTTCTTCTACATTTCTACAGGAAATGGACCTCTGGGTTGATTCTGCGGTCCTAATTATTACTCGACAGCTGTAGCGTCTCTCCCTCTCCCCTACACGACTTTGTATGCTTTTTGCCGCTTGTTTCAAATTTGCTTATGTCATCTCACGTGACCCCAAGGGCGACTTGGATTGTCAGGTACCGACGACGTCACTGGCAACTATAGAGACATTGAGGTTTTACTGTAGATTGAGAGACGATGCAATGAATAAATATCTTCAACAAAGTCAGTGAAGTCTTTGCTGGAAATGCCGGAACTCGAGGTCTGTGCTTCAACCCCACTCTATGTATAGCCTCTTATGCTGTAGGTCTTGGCTTAGAGGGTATCCAAGTAATTTGTGGCTTGCATGCACCATTCTGTTTTTGATCTATCACGCGGTGTGGAGAAAAAAAATATACAGCAGTTGGCTTGCGTTGGATTTTTTGCTACAGATCGTCCAAGTAGTGGAAATATATCTTTGGTTCATCATTGGTATTTTACTTGATTTGTTGTAACACCATTTATTTTCTCCTGGAGATCTGTTGGCCTCGATATCTATCCGAGTGGTAACCTCTTGTTCTTTCTATTTGCTCTATTTATTCCTCAGATAAAGGTCCAATTGGAACATCGGACTTATTTCCCAAGCCGAGACATAAGGTAGAGCAGATATACGATCCAAAATAGATGTATTCAAAAAGAAGGAAGCTACAACTTCTTGCGTTTGTCTGAAGCATTATTCTCATCTCAAAAAAGTGCAAATACTCTGCAATAATACCAAGTATATAAGCCTAACACCATCGTCATATGACGATCACTGGGTGAGAATGAGGCTGAAATCAAACAGTACTTTACGTCATATGCGGCTGAACTGCAGTTTTTCAACATATACACATAGTATTCCGACAAAATCACCAGGGAATCAAATGGGAGCATGATATAGAAGCATTCATGGCAAGATCCAATTCAACCAATCAACTAGAGAGTTGCTGGCGGCAGCAATTGCTGAGTCATCATAATCTCCCACTCGGGCTAACCGCTTGTGGAATGTAGACTCGAAACCTTTCCTCGATGGAAGAATTATATGCATGACTTGCGCGTGGAGGCCGAAGCAGCACGTATAAAGTCTGTATATATGAATTTAATGAGGTCAACTCCCCAAGAAACGTGTCAGTGTTGCGTTTGAACGCGTTTGCAGTCTTCCCACGAGCCACCCAACCACACAGCAACCAACGATAACTGCGCGTGGAAGCTATCTCAAAAGCACAAAACATAGTTTCCACAAATATCAAAAGAGCCCATCCAACATGGATGACCAGCAAGAACTGAGAACAGCCCCAATCTACCCAGTCCCATCCCGCCTCCTCGTCAGTGTCGAGCACCCTGCCGTGGTCCGCAATGTCGACAAGGCGATCGAGACTCTACAGGGCGACACAGGGATAAAAATAGTGAGAAGATGACACCCAATCAAAGACCAAACAAGGACTCTATACTAACACGCCACAGTTCCTGAACCCAGCCAAGCCAGACACACAGGCCAATCTGGTGCTTCGGCCGGATGATGCCATGGCCCGGCCTTTGCAGTCGACCAGCAGTGCATCAAACAATGTCCTGGTCAAGGTGACTGTTCCAAAGCGGACGGGACGGAAGCGCAAGAAGGGCTCAGATGAGCCTTTTATGGACGCACCAGAGTCTGAAGATACGGAGCCGCGGCCACGACGGTCAGCTAAGGATCTGATGCGCAGCTTGAGTGATAACCCGTCTGCGTATCATGTCGAGCCAGTTGGGAAGATACAGCGCACTCACGTCTTCCGAGGTTGGTATCCTCGGGTCTTTTCATCGATATCTTGCTAACTCCGTACTAGGAATGCCGGACTTCGTTTACTCGACTACAGCGAGCTCCTTTACGAACCGATTCCGGGATCAGATTCTTCCATTTGACTGTGAGTATCTTCAACATGTGAACAGCCGCAAAATATACCTAACATAGCACAGTCGAGAAAATGAAACAGTTCGAGCTGGACATGAGCAAAGGCGCCACTCTCAACGCAGACATCATCCCACCCCCATCCTTCAGCCACGGCGACGTCCCATTCCACTACATGTAAGTCCCCCATCCAACCAAATCTAACAAAAATCTAACCACCCAAAGCTACCGCCAAAACCCAACAGTCAAACAATCAATCGGCCAATCGGGCGAAATAACAACAGTGAACACGCAACAAGTCCACAAAGTCCTAACCTACCTAGTCCCCTACGACATCGAAAAAGTCCCAACAGAACCACGGCCCGACCTCCCCCCAATCTCAACCCTAGACTCCAGCATGCGTGAAACAATCAACAAACTGCGAGCCCTCTACGAAACCCAGCCGGCATGGACACGCCGCGGCCTCCGCAACAACTTAACAACAGACGAGGATCGCACGAACCTACGCCACGCCGTCCCCTACGTAGGCTACATCTTTCGCTCAGGACCATGGCGCGACGCAATCATCAAACTAGGCATCGATCCACGCACCTCACCGGACTACAGACACTACCAAACATTCATGTTCCGCCTCCTCGCGCGCGAAGCAGAACTAGCCCGCGACGGCGCAAGTGGTCGACGCCATAATCTGCCCCGGCCGTTCGATCTCTATAATGCCCAACTCTCTGCAAATGCGCAGAATCCAAACCAGAACCCGGAAGATGGGACGTCAAATACACACATCTTCACTGGGAAATTACCGTTCTCGGCAGATGGTAAAATCTGGATGATATCCGAGATCCAGGATCCGCAATTGAAACAAGCATTGTATCCACCGCCTGAAAAATCGGTTGGATTTCTACGGGAGGAGTGTGAGATAGTTGCAGATGGGTGGTATGGGAACGGGACGTTGGGGAAGGTGAAGACTGTGATGAGGCATAAGATCCAGGCGTTGATGGAGGGTCGGGAGGCTGAGGATAGCGAGTTTTGGAAGGTTATGGAGTTACCGGATCATGCGCGGTCTGAGGCAGATTTTGAGAAGTTTACGTTTGATGGGGATGTTAGTAGTCGGGAGATGCAGCTTGCTACTGAGGTTCGGTCTGCGATTCGAGGGTCGCCTATTTGGAATCGGTTGGAGGGGAATGGAAATGGGGTCAGGGGGAAGGGCAAGGGGAAAGGGAAAGAAAGAGAGAAGGGGAAGGACCTGGATGAGGGACCTGAGAAGGGGAAGGGGAAAGGGAAGGCTGGGAAGGCTGGGAAAGGGAAGAAGGGCAAGGAGGTTGCGTTTGAGGAGCCTGATGCTGAAGAGCAGATTGATGAGCCTAGTGAAGGCGAGGAGGAAGAGATTCAACGGCGGGAGATGCTGGCTGAGCAGGTTGCTGCTGCTGCCGAGGCGAGGGATGCAGACCAAGATGACGATGAGAGTGATAACTCGGATGAAGAGGGGAGTGATTGAATCTACAGGCTTACTTTATCTTACTTGCATAGCCGAGATGGAGACAGAGAATACTTATTGCAATAACCTCATTTTAATCATTTGCTCGGGGGCATAGCGGACGCAGACCACTGTGTACATCATAAAACGTGAACGTCAACATAAACATCAGCATAAGCATAAGCATCGGCATAGACATCAGACATGACAAGACAGAAACTCATTAATTAGACGGGGATAGTAAATGAAGGTTAGCCCGTGGACACAACAGTGCAGCAAAGGGTACATGATTCGTAACAAACATGATAAAAGCAAAAGAAAGACAACAGACCAAACAGAGTGGACACCAGTGTCCAAACAAATAGAATAGCCACATATATCAACGCCAAACAATCAAACAAATTGGTATTGAGGCCAACCAGGCCAAAGACACGAGACACCGAATCCAGATGCATATGCGAGTAGTTTTGAGGAGGGTCCATCAGGAAGAGGGAACTGTTTTTTCATCCTAGCCTGAGCTATCAGCACTCTGGGATTCAGTCTCAGCAGTGGCAGCAGGCTTGGCAGTAACAGCCTCCAGGACCGAAGCAATGGAAGTAGAGATGAGGGCTTCCTGGCTCTGAGCAAGAGGCGAAGAGGGCTTCTTGAACTCAGACACGGTCTGCTCGTGGACAACCACATAAGAAAATGCATTGCAGTCCTCAGCATAAAAGTCGGCAGCATTGAGCTCTCCGAGTGGGGCGCGGTCCTCCTCCATCTTCGATTCCTTGCGGGAGGCAGGCACAGCAGTAGCAGCGGCAGTAACAGGAGAACCGAGGAGCTCAATTCCAAGCTCGACAGGAGGAACGTTCTCCTTTCCACGATCATCACTGGGGACAGACTTGCCCTCGTCATCGCTTATATCAAGAACAGTGGTAGAGTGCTGCATGAGGTTGGTCATCTCTTCCTGCTCCGAGTCAACGTGGATATCAAAGAACCACGAGTTAGGAGCCTTAGGCGCAGGCTTGGGAGACGATGATGCCTGGAGAGCGGAAGCGAGCGAGAAAGGACGCGCAACAGCGCGCTTTCCGGATGATTCAGAGCGGGGCTTGGAGATAGCTGAGCGGCGGCCGGGCTTGCAGGACTTTGGTGGTGGGGAGCGACCAGCAGGCTTGAGGATTGGGGCGGACTTTGGGGTTGAGATTGTTTGGGATGTTCTCAAGGGAGTCGAGAGACGCGGGGAGATGTGGGTGGAAAGAGCCATGCGAGAGGTCTTGGGCTTGGAAGCCTTGGGTTCTTCGTCGTCGCAGGTGCGCTTGCGCTTTGCGGAGAGTTTGGAGGGGTCAATGTTCTCTGAGTCAACGAAGATGGTGTTGGATTTCATAGACTTGGGACCTGGTGTTACGGTTAGGCGATCCTGGGAACAGCTAATCTTGGCTCGAACTTACCAGCGTTGCTTTGACGGTTCAACTTTGACATCAGAGGACGCATCGTGTCGATACAGCCCAAGGGCTGGCGTGTGGGAGTCATGGTGAGAGTGGCCATGGTGAAAGAGAGAGAGAGACCGGGTTTGTTTGGTCAAGTGGGGTTCACGCTAGTGAACAGAGAGATCGAGGTCAAGTTATAGCGATATAGTTGATATAGACGATATAATAGAATAGGAAATCGAATGATTGTATATGGTCGGATCACAGTTAATAAAAGAAAGGAAAGGATCTAGAGTCCAGTACACCGCACTATGATCAAATGTCTTGGATGGGAGGAAGAGGCTGTAGTTATACTTGAGACTTGCAGGTTTAGGTTGAGAGGAGGCAAGGAGAATTATAATGAGGGATCACAAATGGAGGGCGGACGGACTATTTCAAGGCCTGCATAGCATCCAGCGCGTCGCGTCAGTATGTAAGGTATCTTCGGAGATGCCAAGTTCAGGTGTGGCGGTTACTCCATACTCAGTACAATGCCATTATTCGCGGAATGTATGAGGATACGCGCTTTATTGCTTCCTCCATATCTATAGAATAGTCCTTTATTCATAAAAGAAATAGTCTATACTAATTAATTATCTATAACTCATAGAACCATCTCACGAAGCAAAACCAGTCCTGTAAGTCGCGTCCATCCCTAGAACGCGTCCAAAGTACCCGATACTCGGCATCCCGCCCCATCAGTACTATCCGCGTAAGTATCCAATACCTCCGCGCGACACGAAATCGCGACTTCGTGACGAACAGCGCTAAGAGATGAAGTGATTGAAACTTTGCCAGCGCATCCATCTCGATTGGCTGCCACTCGTCACAACTCAGCCGTAGTGAAACTCATGCATGCACTGCACGAGGGGGGCCGTGGAGGTTTGAGGCAACGGTGGAGCTGGAACATGCGGTCTGCACGTAGACGCAGACGTCGACATAGAGACATAGCTGGAGGCGAAGGTGTCTGGGGATGTTTCGCGTGCTAGGCTGGGGTGTCAGGCTCGGAGGCCAGGCTGGGGAATGTTGAAGGCGTTTCGTATCTAGGGCGTTCATCCCTTGGTGGTCGATCGTGGAGAATGGGCTATTAATAGGGAGGGTATGCACCTACTGTATGCCTTCACCCCCTCTTCGTGGGCTGGATCAGGGCTGGATATTCCCCCTCGTACATTTATCCTTGTTGCATTCCTGGAAATGAAGGATGATGAACCTATCCTTCCCGCCATAGACGTGTTCGTGCATCAGCATCGGCATTGTTCCACTAGGTACATATACAGTGGTTGATCTAGTCTATCTCGATATTATGTACATTCGTCAATGACATCAGATCTCATCCTCAAACGGAATGCTATCCATGGCACCTTGACGCTCCACCGCTCGAGCCGAGGCCTGCGCAGCCAGGCGCATCGCCTCGTCCATCACCGTCTTATACCGGTATGCCTTCTCGTCATCGGCCACATCCTGTCCGGCCTTGCCCGCGCCGCGACGCTGCTCGCGCCACCGCGCAACCTTGACAGCATACCCTCCGACAAAGGTATCTCCGGCGGCAGTTGTATCCAAGACCCGAGACACAGGCGCAGCGGGAATCTCATTCGTGAAGCGCTGCACACCGTCACTAGGTCCTGAAGACCCACCATCCGTGGCACTGTACCAAACACCCTTAGCCCCAAGCGTGATAAGAACATAGGTAACGCCGAGCTTGTGGAAGTACCGCGCAACCTTCTCATTTCCATCGAGACCCTCGGCATCAGGAACGATGTTCAGCAATTGCTCCGTAGGCGGCGACATAAGCTCAGCCTCAGTCTCATTCAAGATCAAATGATCTACAGCGGCATAAACATCCTCAGGCAAACCACCCGGCGGCGCGGGAGCCGGGTTCAGCATAACATCAGGACCACACTCAATGCCGCGCTTCCCAGCAGCACGGTTCTTAGCCTTGAACGCGGCAATCTCCCGTAACGTCCCAATAACAGTATCAATAGGAATCTCGCCCTGCATGACAATCACATCCGGCATAGGCGCCGCAAGTGCCATACCTAGTACTTCTGGTGTAGGTTGCATACCATCATAGTTCGCGCCAGGTGAAAAGAGGATGCGGTTCTCGCCGCCAGCCGACGAATCAACAATGATAACTGCAACGCCGGTGTATGCGTTCTCGACAATCTTCACTCTGGACGGGTCGACGCCGGATCTTTCAAGTGTTGGCTTGAGGAGTGCGGAGAAGTGACCGTCTAGTGCGCCGACTGCGCCCATCATCTCGACTTGGACGTCGCTGGTGGAGGGTGCGGGGCCGGTCGGTTTGGCTCTGGACAGGCGGCCGCAGGCGACGGCTTGGTTGGCGCCTTTGCCGCCTGCGCTTGTGAAGTAGGATGAGGATGTTATTGTTTCGCCTGGGTTTGGGAAGCGCGGGGTCACTGAGACCATGTCGGCGTTTAGGGAGCCGATTACTCGGATGAGAGGTGCCATGGTTGTGCTCGTAGGAGGTCTTGGTAGGTGGTATTCAATTCGGGGTTGAAGTGAAGAGAATGAGCTGGAGCTTGGTGCTCACAGTAAGCTCAATTGTTAATGGCGGAGTAGAGAGGCTTGAAGATGTTCGCAGGTTCAGGTGAAGATAGGAATGACGTCGGGTACGTTGTGGGGCGGATCCACTGCAGCCTCATGCAGATGTATACTTCCAACATATACAGAGTAAGGCGTATTAGGGAGTAGGGTGACTGGTAGAAGTCTTCACGGGGGTACGAAAATCTCTTTCCCCTTCATATTTATCCAAAGAAACTTGACTATAATTCTCAGTTGATCTGGTATCACGTGATCTATCCAAGCATTTGGGCCTACATCAAGCCGTTAAGTAGTTCCCTTTCAATACTCCTACCCGAACAACTCAATCGGCATAGCAAATCCTGGAACCACATGCCCTTGGCCTCATGTCAACGTACACTCGACAGGTGTTCGATTTAGAGGGTGGGAGATATTGCGGTTTTTTTTGGTCTTCTCTTTTATATTCCATACCATAACCTCTGAGCTTGAAACTGACAAAGATCCTTTTGTTTCCCAACCACATCCTGTCTGAAGTCCCGCTCTATGAAAATATGGACAGTTCTATTGATTTTCGTCTATCATTTCCGCCATTGGGTTTGTTCTTCACACACCAGCCATCCACGGTCTCAAGCTATAAGATCTGAAACAGCTAACCCCTTCTTGATATCGCGCTCTTATCAGCGAAGGCATCGCCATAACTTGCCGCTGGAAGCCGTCGTTGGACGTTTGGCTTCAGCCCTCAAGACAAGATGGTCACGAGCTACATACCTTGGCTAGCCGTATGAGGCAGTCCATGATAACTTTGATGGCTTTGGCAAATAAAAGCTTCGAAAAAGGCTTACCTGACGACCAATAAGATTTCGAATTGATCAAGATCGGCAAAAACACCGCGCTAGGGTCAGCAGAGAACTAGATCGCGGACATGCCATCTACCAAGATGGTGAACACAGAGACAAATGACAGCATTATCGGAGCCAGCTGCGTTGGTTAACAAGCTGCTCATTCCAGGCCTGAGTCACCTATCTCGAAGACAAACGCAACACACATTCTATATGGCGTCAGCTGGTGTGTTGACCCAACGATGCAACACAAGAGGCTCCGCAAGACCATTGAAGCATGCACTCTTGTTTTGTGTGGTATCATACAACGAGGGTCAGGGATGTGTAGGAAATGCCACTTGCGAACTGTCTGCAGACTCCACATGAGACGCACACCTCAACGTGAGTATATCGTCTCATGCATGGTTTCTCTCTACATTTGCTTTTCTTCCAACAGTTTGCAGTCTTCATAATAGCTGTTCAAGAATCGAGAAGACTCCACTGTGGTTCAATGCTTATGCCAACATATCTCTGTATTCTGTGAGTACAGCCCGATCATTTCGAAGTCTGGTATTATGGCCCGGTTGAATTATCGAGTCTTAAAGTATTTCCATGCACAAAGCCCAAGTGGGATATAGATTGGTATACTGTGTGGGGTCCATGTCAATGTGAGGCTACGAATGTACTGACACAAAGATAGCATTAGACATTCCCATTACCAACTGATTCATATCTCTTTGACGTCTGCCTGAAGGCCACATACAGTACCCAAATTCCCCACTCACTCGCCAAGGACATGTCGACCCCAGCAGGTCATAAGGCTAGCCCTGTTCAGCCACACACCCCAAAGCCACTGGCTGTCAAAAATCCCTACTGCCAAGAAATGACAACATAAGGCTGCATCTCCGAATATCCTTGGCGTGCCACCAGCCCCGGTCAACTACAGTGCTCCCCCCTAGGCACCAGCATTCCCCAATCCTTCCAACGTCAATTGGTCATGTGAAACCTGAGTCCTGTGGCTGTTCGCTAACTTCAGCCTTTCATGCTATAGACTCATGCATGCTTGGCTTGCATACACAGTGCAACATCACGAGATGCCATTTACGATCCTGTGGCTGGTTTTGCGGGAAAACATGCCATGCGCCACGATAACGACACCCTCTATTAAGGATACGTTGTGCTCCTTTGCTCGGAATGTCTGCGCAAGATGTTAATGTGGGTATTTACACTTAGTCTGGTCCACTCATTGTGAGGTGTACTGCATGGTGTCGTCTTGTCATCTCCACTCCCGTACATACTAGGCCAAGGGTGTCTCTTTTGTCTTGCAAACATCTTCCTATGTGTAGAGTATCCCCGCACCGCCAATGCCTGTACGCCGAAGAAATGCCCCGCCTATCCCAGTTGCAATGGCATCGTTACAGACTGCCACTAGCAAATGATTCTGTGCCAAGTGTTGGACAAGAATCGGGGCTGCACGATCACGAGTCTAGGGTAGGTTCGGGGTCGGGGTTTATTGTATCCTGTCTGGCTGAGGTATATAAAGAGGGGCTGTCTCCCCGTTTCTGTTTCTCCTTTCCTGAGTTCTATGATCCAGAGTCTTTACACTTTACTTTGCATTCTTCTCTCCCAAATTGACAATATGAGTTTCCACGAATCTGCCACTCACATTGAGCTTGAGGATGGCCATATCCTCAAGGCTGTCCTGCGTAACGAAGATGGCGATGAGCAGGAGTCTACTCTGGACCTGAATACAATCATTGGGAACAATGATGGTAAGCAGCCATTTGCTTCGGTCCCGTCTCGCTCTGGAGGCTATCACAATTACTGACAACTCATTTTAGGACACTTTTACTGGGAGGGCGAGAACTTCCACGAAAGTGCCTCCGACATCAGCTTCGAGCGGGAAGGAGACGAGGAGACCCCTGTTCTTCGGGCGGTCTTGGGCAACGTGGAGGGAGAGGGTCAGGATGCGGATATCAACCTCGCGGAGCGTATCACAAACATCAACGGAGAATTGGTCTTTCAATAGGTGATACTTATGGTCTGGACTTTACTCTTTATGGCTTTTTAATAGAAAGCAACGGAAAACAATGATTCATGCGATATTCTTGCAAATTAAACGAAGATATACACCAGTCACGTGTTGGGGTCTGAACCATACACCTTGTTGCCTGTAGATCGTTACACCGCAAGCATGGATGGGTACCGGAAAAAGCAATATGGCGAGATCTAACGTCAGTCTGTAATATGCCTCAGATGAACTAGAACTAAGCCAAAACAAGTCAAACAAGGACGGTGGCCCGTCTAGGGGACTGAAAATTCGCAATGTTAATAGGAAATTGGTCTAGAAATCACTGCTTAGGCTGGAATAAATATACCACTTCTTTTGCCAAACAAAGCAACACGGATAATGACTGTACTGGGATGATGGAACAATCCTCATAAACTGGTAGGCATGGGCCTTTGATGCAAGAAGGCCCAACGCTTACAATATCTCTCTAGGTTGCCATCCAGATTTGGATCCTGAGGTATTATGGACGGAGCTTCTAGAGGTGCCTAGGCCGTCTGTCCTTTCAGCTGGCTATGAGTGTATTTGTTTAGATCATGTGTATGGTAGGATGGAATGGAATGGATAAATGGCTTCGGTCCAGCAAATGTCACAAAAAGAAAAGAATAAGGAATAATAAGTATATCGTAGAATCGTGAATGGAAAATACCTCGATGCGAAGAGCTGCATGGCCGTCCACATCATGTGTAAGTCCGAAACACATGGTGGCAACGAAACACCAGGAAACTGAAGATCTTGATCTTGCGGGAGTGTGAAGAGACCTAGATCTCTCTTCGATGGCTTGCCCGTGGAACCTACTTGCCCGTGGAACCTAAATGATCACCTATAAATAATGTGTAATTCAAATCACAGATGAAGAGTGGGATCCACTTCGAATGCGGCCATTCTTGTGCAGGGATTATGAGCGATATATGGAGCCTAGCCCTAAAGTGGCACAAAATTGCCTCGCCAATATTGAAAGTCTCTTTGGCAATGATCCAGGATCATGGATACAGAAGTTGGACGAAAGCCAGCTGGCGCTTGGCAGGCCTATGACCAATAGATAGAGCGTATTGGACCCAGTAGATGTACGTGGGAAATTTCGAGGGGTTCGAGAAACACTCGAATAGTGCAGGCGGAGAATTGATGTTCCCCCATATGGATGTAGTTACCATCCAATAACTCGATCGCTAGTTAGAGTTTGTGGCGTTTCCAGCCTATGGTGATACGCGAAGTCCCAGTTCTAGAATTCTAGAACCCTTCCCTTAACCAATTCACCAACACAATCGGAACGAAGTCGGTAGGGACGCTAGCTCACTCCTGAACTCAATATCTCCTGGATGCTGCTTATTTCTTGAGCTATTTGAGAATATTGCCATAGTCTCGGAAGAGAGAAGTCGAATTGTATTTTCCGATCATGCACCCTTCTGTCTTTTCTCTCTGTCATTAGGTGCTTGTTCTCAAAAGCAGCCGTATATGGGGTTATTCACGGTTTTACCTAGCTGTTGGTGAATTTTGCGCCCCAAAGCTTTCTTGGAAGTGTATGACGTCTATATTATTGTGCACGACTCTAACCTTGGACTGGTGTGGAGAATCTTAGGAGAAAATCTCACAATAAGCTTTCGTCTTGTCTCTGTCTACCCCAGATTTTGAATTTGGCCACGCTTTTTGGTTCATGGTACAGAAGGGCAAGCGGCCGGTTGGGCGAATGACAATTCTCCAGATCCTCTTACCTGGTCGCCACACCACGTGCACTTCTCATCCTCGTGGCAGGTGGTGTAGAAATTTCTTTAAAAGCAGATGTCCCTATAAGGCTGGCTGAATTCACGTTGCAAGCGGTTCAAACAGTTATATCCCTATGACGTTGACCGACGAACAACTTCGGGCTATCTCAATAGCAGAAAGAGTGGGAGGTAGCTCTTCTTTGCTGGGCTGTGCGTTTATTATAACGACTTACAGTGCTTCGACCATTTTTCGCAAGCCAGTCAACAGGTTGATCTTTTATGCGTCTTTTGGGAATGCTTTTTCCGCCGTCGCGTCACTGATGAGCAGAGATGGAGTTATAGAGGGTCCGGAGTCTTCCTTATGTCTCGCACAATCATTCTTCATCCAATAGTACGTTGCCCACTCTCTATATCAAAATTGCAGACTCTAATTGTTGACACTGAAGTTGGATGCCAACGGACTCGCTATGGTCCTTTTGTATGGCGATCAACATATATCTTACTTTTTACCGGAGACACTCAGCTGAAGATCTCAAGAGGCTTGAGAAGTGGTACTTTCTTCTATGCTACGGCTTACCGCTAATACTCGCAACGGCACTGAGCCTGATAAAGACTACTGAAAGAGGAAGGGTCTACGGGCCAGCCTTGGTATGCACTACTCGAACGCGCCTTGCGGACTATTCATGGCATAAAACTAACTTCCCATTAGATTTGGTGCTCAATTAGTCAACAGTGGCAATTTCTTCGTTTAGTGTGTTTCTATGGTCCAGTGTGGTAGGGTCATACAATACTGTCTCGCAACAACGGATCTAATTTCTTTTTCATAGGGTGGTGAGCATCATAACTTTTGCAATCTATGCCACAGCCGGTGTCCACATCTATCGAAAAAACAAGGCTTTACAAGCGGCTAAAGACACAATGCCTACCAGCAGCAAAGCAGTTGGCATTACTCGATCTGTCACTTTCAATGTAACGGCTGGAGCAGCGAAAGTCCTATCTTTTGAGCCAGCCACGCCATATTCAACCTGCATAGAATCACAGCATTCTCAACCTGGAAGTGGGCTGAGCAACCAGGTTAGCAAGAATAACGCGATGTGGAGCTATTTGAGATACTCCTTCATCTTCTTCATAGCCATGGTTGCCACCTGGGTACGGATATACCCTTCAAATCTTTTTCCCATATACGACCCTCCCTCACAAGCCATTACTAACGAGGCTCCCAGTTACCATCATTTGTTAATCGAGTTTACAGTCTAGTCAATCACAGCAACCCAAATTTCGGCTTGAACTTGACTGGAGCATTTGTCCTATCTCTGCAGGGATTTTGGAACGCCATTATCTACACATCAACCACGTTCCCAATATTAAAAGCCCAGTGGGCTTCCATCCTCAAATCCCTCAAATCCTTTTCACCTCTGAGGTCGACTAGAAGAGTCACCCGGAGAGAGTCTGCCGACATCTCGCTCCAGGGAGCGGGATTTGATGGAAGGTCTAATACAGGCAGTACATCCTCTTTGGCGATCCGGCCATCAGTTGAGACTTCTGTGGCTGTATCTTCCAATGTGTAAATAAAGAAAAATAAAGGAAGCTCTGGCTGTTATAGGCTTATATGCGGGAGTCTACAGCAGTCACTATGTTATTATAGAAGTTCATTTTTCAATATATACTTACAGCTCTCCAGCTTGCCCATGGTCATTGCGGTGACGCCGAACCACTCATTTGGGCAAATACGAATAATGCAGTAGTATCAGCACGAAGATTTGTTTACATTATACAAGAGCCTAGCCTCGAAAGATCACCAACTTGTGGCAGAGATAATTAGTGGACCAATGTACCAAAAATTCACGGTTGAGCGATGAATCTGGTAGATTCATTTCTACTTAGAAACCTAAACGATGACTGGTTCAGCAAAGATGTGTTATAGGTTGCTAAGTGGTCACAGCAAGTAGCGAAGGTATATAATACCTAGCCGGCCTAGACTAGGTAACGTGCCGTCTCCTGCTCCGCTAGGCTTTCTACGGCTCGGACCTCGTGTGATTACCATTGCTTGTTTCTTTTGTGTCTAAGAAATCCTTGAGTGACCCAGATCCAGATTCAGAAAAATAACCATTGAACAGCTCATATATCGCGAGATCAATTTTACAAATTGTCAAGTTTCACCCACCATTACAGCACAACGGGATACTTTGTAAGTCTAAGATTCGACAAAATTCTCATGGAGCGGCACTACTTTGTGTATGTGCATCTAGCTTCCCATTGCCCGCAGAAGGCACAATCGGACCTCTTCTGAGAATTGAGTATGAAAATGCAACTTGCGATTTTCATGATTTACTATTGGGCGATACGTGATACTAACGTGCACAGCTACGTAACCGAGGCACGTAATTCTGATCAATTTTTCTCCATGCATGATCTTCCTATAGTATCTCCCTCCAAAGCACCAACTTCAACAAGAGAGATAGGTGGATATACAGAGACAGGTGTATATACAAGTGCCACCCGTAAAGTATTGGACAGTCTCTATACGAACCTGACCTCAAAGTGAGTAAGTAACCACGATTTTCTTATCGTTTCCGATCTACTTCGAGCTCTCGTTTTTCACGTCTCTTTTGCACATTTGCTAGGCCCACGATCACCTTACAACATAAAATCAAGCTACAAGAAATCTTCCAAAATGAGTATAGATCGTATATCATTGATGTTCATATATGCAACAGCGGTCATCTAGACCCAACCATCCACAAAACTCCAAACAAGTATGATACTAATTATACAGGAGACCCAGCTCCATCAGAGAACATGACAAAACATGATCGATTGAAACCCCTCAGTGACCGGGAAGGGAGCCAAGACCCTTATTCTCGCCGAGGGTCTTAGGCTCGTGGCCGCCCTTGCCTTGGCCGGGGGTGTTCTCGTAGCCGCCGCTGCCTTGGCCGGGGAAGACGTCACGGCGGCCGGAACCGGTCTGCTCGGGCATGGGGGCGGCCTTGTGGGAGCGGTTTACGTCGGCGGACTGGGGGATTTGTTAGAATTGAATTATATTTTGGGAAAGAAATCGGGTTGAACATACCTCGTTGCCGGTGCCGTGGACCTTGGTAGGGCCGTTCTCGATGGGGTTGTCGCTCTGGGGCACACCGTTGTCGTACTCAGCGCCGCGAACCATTTTGATTGACTTTAAGAGTAGGAAGGAGGAATTGAATGAGTATAGAGGATTGTAGTGGATTGGATTTGGAGGAGAGGAAAGTTGTAAGATCGCATCTACTTATACTTACTCGGTGCTTGGCACAGGGTTTAGCGTGACAGCATCGTGAAATCATAGTGGGGAGCCATGACTTCATGTCGTTGGAACATCCGATCTTGTACATTTTGCCTTGGAACTGGGTCTTTGGAACACGATAGATAATATTGGAATAATATTGGATCTAAATTAATCTTATTAAGTTACTAGAAATTGTGTAGTTCAGAAATTGAAATTGAGATGTATACAGTACTGCGCTGACCAGCAGCGCAAGATGAAAATCAAACTTCCATACCAAATAATAATCGAAGGAAAAGGGAATTGTAAGTCCTCCAAATAGAATATGATCAACCTGTTCCTTTTATCGCATTTTTTTAGTGAGTTTGCGGGTTTGTGTATACGAAGTATCCTTGCAATGAAGACGTCGGGGAACAGTAAAGGTATCCAATAAAAAGGTCCCACATCTCTACGTCGGGATTGGCCGACTGAATTGGAATCATTTATCTGAAATCTGGAGGTGGAAAGTCAGAACGCCTCAGTCTGTGAGCTTTGCAGCCGAACCAGCCTCGATAGCAGCATCGTATATTGGCGCTCGTTCAAAGTCATTAATGGGACGAGCATCCAGTCTGCGTTGCTGTGCCTAATGACCAGCCTCAAGAAACCCCCACTTGGCCTTCAGAACAAACGTCATTTGCATGGAGCGATTCAGGTACGCCTGCTGTAAGCCTCGGCGGCACGACGCGATGTGGGGAGCCTTGAACAACCTGCCTTGGTGGTCCGTTTCTATGCGTGTTTCACAGAGCCGCGGTGGCAATCCTGGCAATCCGCTGTCGTAGAGCTTCTTGGGGTGTCTGTGGTCTTGTTATCGACAAGTTGCGAGCTGAGGCATCTGGCATACTCCGCCACGGTGCCCTGATTGAGTAAAGTTGCCTCTTCAGCTTGCCTGGGTATATAACCCCTCTGGTGGATAGCTTTGAGGTGTCTGGGGTCTTGTTCGGTGTTCTGTACAGTCTCCTCGGTAGGATACCGGGCGGCTGATCTGCTGTTGGGGTCTGTTCTTCGTTGCAGACACAGAAGAAGTTGGAGAATGGACTGGCTTGCGTGTTATTTCCTTCGGTAAAACAAGCATTTCAGGGGGCCTGTCCGGCAGTGCGCCATTTCGCATTTTGGTTAGGACATCCCGTGGGATGAATTGGGTACTTACCTCTAGCCAGTTCCGGCTTGGGTTCTCGGTATGCAGCGGGTAAACTGAGCTATTCGGGACTATGTTGGCGGGGTTACTCTGCCAGACTGTTGAGCTGCTGCCGTACTGGATCTGCGAATAGTGTGAATATGAAGAATATCCAGGGTGATACATGTCCAGGGGGTCATCGCTGGTTGGTGGCCGGTGTGCAGCCTTGTGGGCCTCAGAATATCCCCAGAGTGAGATAAGGCACGGTTGAGGCTCTGGATATGGTGAAGATTCAATATACCCTTCGCTATGATCGGAGTCAACAGGCAAGAGCCATGGTGCGTCTTCATGTTCGCTAAAATGATCACCCGGAGAGTAAGGAGCTGGAGGACACTCAATAGACCACTCAGTCCGAACCGGCTCCTCGTCCTCAGTATTGCTGGATGACGAGCTTCCTCGACTTTCCATGCGTGCCCGGTAGGACAGTGGATCGTGTCCCGTCTTGTGAATGTTCAAAGGTAGAGGCACCAAGTTCTCGAGGTTCTGATCATTGATAGAATTTGTCGAGGTAGCATGGTCACGTTTGCGGTTCAAGTGAGATACATGGGAGGGATGAGGGACTTCCGGATGCTTTGACATAGGAAAACGGGTCCCTGAACGTGAGGTTTTCTCGGTATGAGCCGATACACTAGCCAAGGCCGTGGTATCCTGGTCATGTTTGTCATTCCAGTGGGAGAAATGTGAGGGAGGAAGCCTTTTCATAAGATTTGCCATTGTAGGAACAGCTATAGGTATGCTCGAACCGGGGTTCCTCTCAGTTTGAGTCGATACGTCAGTCATAGTAGTGGTCCTACCAAGACGTTTACCCTTCACGTGAGATGAACGCCAGAGACCAGGTGTGCCCAAACGCTTGTCCACCGTGGAAATTGTGGAATGGGTCTCTGTACGTGGGATACCTTTAGGCATGTCAAAGACCTTGGTTGCCTGGGAATGTTTGCCCTTAGAGTGAGATGAATGTGAGGAACTGCGTGTATCCTGGCGCTCTTCTACAGTGGGAGCAGCGGACCGGGGTTTCGAACGTAAAGTGCTTTCATTATGACCCGACCCACAAGCCAAGGGCTTGCTTCTCTGGCGATCCCGGGCTGTGTCTGCTCTGGGGGGTACTTCCAAATGTCCTACCACTGTGGGAGCCGTGTACGACGTAGTCGGCCGTACGTTCTGCTTGGAAGAAATGGAAGAAGGTGGTGAGCTTGGGGTGCACATGATAGACACAAGTTGGGAAGCGTCCGGAGCCGTGTGCGCAGATCCGGTGGTTGCAGAAGCAATAAAATTGGTGTTCCAATTCTTGGGAAAGACTCTTTTGAACGAAAATTCGCGCTGCGGCGTTGAAAATGTGTTATCTCCCGATAATGATGAACCAGGCCGGTCTTTGAAGTATACATCGGGGTGGGTAGAGGTAGGGCTGGCAGACTGAATGTCCACACAGCTTGCTCCCACCGGCTTGAACTCAGCGATAACAGCCACCCCAGGGATCCCATCTTCACTAAGTTCCGATGAGTCTGGGCTCATCACTCTGGGTACACGAGACTCATCAGACTCCTCGTATTGTACGGTGTCAGTATTGAACCTGGTATAATTCTCCCCAAGTCTCCCAGTCTCCGGAGATACAGGAACGTCGATATCCACCGAAATGTATGTAGGATAAACCCTGTCCTCAGGCATAAGTTTGCGAAATCGCTTTGCTCTTTTTCTGGGGCCGATACGCGTCTTGTTAGCTGCTAAAGCCTGGCGAATCCTTCTCTTCATCTGCCGGCGAATGTTAAATCGATGCATTCGACCTTGTACATTGAGGATGAGTATGTCGAGACGGTCCAGGACCCAACCGCCCAATCGATCCCTGGACAGCCATCGCTCGCCAGTGAGCACTCTCCGCTGACTGGACCTTGCCATGAATCAACTTGAAGCGTAGTGAAGAAGTTCGAAAGTGAATATAACATTGCTAAAAGTGATGCAGATAGCAACAGATTGTCTGACCTCGGGAGACCATAGAGCTTTATAAAAGATAAAGAACTGAACGAAAGTGACGGGAGACCCGGCACAATATTCTCCTCTCAAGCAATTAGTTGTTTTAATAACAATGGAATTAACGGTCCATCGAGCAGTTTGAGTGCTTTGTTTGGACTTGGTTATCAATGGCCTTTTGTTGTTGTTGTATGAGTCAAGTGTAGGGGAATCATGAGACGGTTTGCTGGCATGAAAGAGAATAGATTTTCTCTCATCCAATCAAGCCACACCGAGGGCATACACCGTGGACAAGGCCGAGAGATGTATATACTTAAAACACCTCGCAGTCCCTACCTTATGAGGTCGCCGGGGTCTCGGCAGGAATTTCACTTAGTCAATTGAGACCATTGAGATCATTGAGTTCGCTGCGAGACATGCCAAGCAGATCCATCAAGTTTGGGTGCATCCTCTTGCATTCTCTTGCAGTTCCATGCATGTCCTCCATGTAGTGTAGAATGAGGCCAAGTCCTGTTTGACCGGTGGAACTTGCCGTTGTCAGCCTGATGTCATTGGTCTTCCCCAGGTCAATCAAAGCAATTGGATCACAGGGATGTAGACCTGGAGGCAAAAATACTGCACATGTACGTACATGTATGTAGGGATGTACGTTAAATCAGAGGTAGAAACCGGAAGGATGTAGAGGAGAGGACCGGGGGGTGCGGGATAGCAAGCGGCCCGATCACACTCTACGCCGTACCCGGGATAGTTCAGACGTTACATCCAGGTCCAGATCCAGGTCCAGGCACTTCTTGACAGAAATCTCTGTTTCCTACTTTCGCCTCTTCTCACCTTTTTTTAGTCTCAACACTTTTGCAGGATTGACCGGGGGCTATATTAGGGAGCGCCATTCCCTTCTGAGGGGAACACCGCAGCTACCAGCCCGGAGAACAACTCGACGCTACACGATTCGGGTTCTTTTCTCTTCTCTGAGTGCCTGTCTCTCTGCCATTGTATCTTCATTCCATCTCCATACTACAAGTGTATCTCATTGACCTCACCCCAGACGACCCCGAGCTTCTCCCCCGGAACTCCACTTTCTCCGCACAGACCGAGTGCAGCTCTTCCAAGGTTCTCTGAACCTTTTCCCGCCCCTCTGCAGGTTTTCTCTTTCTCTTTCATTTTTCCCTCATTTCACACTATGGAGGAGAACGGTGAATCCATCAAGCGCGATGTGCGCAATCATATGCTGTTCGAGGTGGCCACCGAGGTGGCTAACCGTGTGGGCGGGATCTACTCGGTCCTGAAGTCCAAAGCTCCCGTCACTACGGCGGAATACGGCGAGCGGTACACTTTGATCGGCCCCCTCAACAAGGCTTCGGCCGCTGTGGAGGTGGAAGAGCTCACCCCGTCCAACCCAGCTATGCGGGAGACCATCCAGTCCATGAAGGACCGCGGCATTGAGATAATCTACGGTCGCTGGCTCATTGAGGGTGCGCCGCGGGTGCTCCTCATCGACACCGGGACTGGTTACAGGTGGTTGGACGAGTGGAAAGGTGATCTTTGGACCAACTCTGCCATCCCGTCCCCCGCCGCCGATAACGAGACCAACGAGGCCATCGTTTTTGGATATTTGGTCGCTTGGTTCTTGGGAGAGGTACGTCACGCTCTGACCCAGCGCAAGAGGAGCGACACTGACCATGTTCCCCACTTTAGTACATTGCCCATGATCGTCGCCGCGCGGTGGTCGCTCATTTCCATGAATGGTTGGCAGGTGTGGCGCTGCCACTGACGAAGAAGCGGCACATGGACCTTACCACCATCTTCACTACGCACGCCACATTGCTGGGTCGCTATCTGTGTGCTGGTTCAGTTGACTTCTACAACAACCTCCAGTACTTCGACGTGGATGCGGAGGCCGGGAAGCGGGGAATCTACCACCGCTACTGCATTGAGCGCGCAGCCACGCATAGCTGTGATGTCTTTACCACCGTGTCGCACATTACCGCATTCGAGAGTGAACATTTGCTGAAGCGGAAGCCTGACGGTGTGTTGCCCAATGGCCTTAATGTGAAGAAGTTCTCTGCTATGCACGAGTTCCAGAACCTGCACTCGCAGGCCAAGGAGAAGATCAATGACTTTGTTCGGGGTCACTTCTATGGCCACAATGACTTTGATCTCGATAACACCCTTTACCTCTTCACCGCCGGTCGGTATGAGTTCCGTAATAAGGGTGTCGATATGTTCATTGAGGGCCTGGCTCGTCTGAACCATCGCCTGAAGGCCGCCGGGTCGACCATGACAGTCGTCGCATTCATTATTATGCCTGCCCAGACCTCCTCCTTGACAGTGGAGTCCCTCAAGGGACAGGCCGTTGTCAAGTCTCTGCGCGACACCATCGAGAACATTGAAAAAGGCATCGGCAAGCGCATGTACGAGCGCTGTCTTTCTTGGAAGGAAGGCGACAAATTGCCCGATGAGAAGGACCTGATCACCAGCCAGGATCGCGTCATGCTCCGCCGCCGTCTGTTCGCCATGAAGCGCCATGGCCTGCCCCCAATTGTCACCCACAACATGCACAATGATCACGAGGACCCCATCCTGAACCAGCTTCGCCGAGTCCAGCTATTCAACCAAGCCTCCGACCGGGTCAAGATTGTCTTCCACCCCGAATTCCTGAACTCAGCCAACCCCGTTCTCCCGCTGGACTATGATGACTTTGTGCGCGGAACCCACCTGGGTGTCTTCCCCTCCTACTATGAGCCCTGGGGATACACTCCCGCCGAATGTACCGTGATGGGCGTCCCCAGTATCACCACTAACCTCTCCGGCTTTGGTTGTTACATGGAGGAATTGATTGAGAACTCCTCCGATTACGGAATCTACATTGTGGACCGTCGCTCCAAGGGAGTGGATGATTCGGTCAACCAGCTGACCGAGTTCATGTTCAACTTCACGGAGAAGAGTCGTCGTCAACGTATCAACCAGCGTAACCGAACAGAACGTCTGAGCGACCTGCTTGACTGGAAACGCATGGGTTTGGAGTATGTCAAGGCTCGCCAGCTGGCCCTGAGAAGAGGTATGGACCCTCGCCGTATTGATTCGAGCTATGACTAACTGGAGAACAGCTTACCCGTCCTCCTTCGAGGGCCAAGAGGATTACTTTGACATCATTGGAGGAACTGACCAGAAGATCTCCCGCCCGCTTTCTGTTCCGGGATCTCCCCGGGATCGCACTGGAATGATGACCCCCGGTGACTTTGCCTCCCTGCAGGAAGGCCACGAAGGCCTGAGCACCGAAGATTACATTGCCTGGAAGCTACCGTGAGTTCATCCCCATCCCATTGATCTATTCATACTTACACTGTGGTTAGTGAGGAGGAAGAGCCCGAAGAGCACTTCCCACTTACATTGCGAACCCGCAAAACCACGGAGCGCCCCCAATCCCCGTTGGACAGCATCTCCATCAACGGCCGCCAGCTCGGTGACAGTCCGAAATAGGAGGGCAATAGCCGTATAACCGAGGGTTCCGTACTTGTTGGAACTCATTTCTCTTGGGGCCCCTCACCTGACGTCATTTGTACTTGTTTAATTACTGTGATCTTTTTATGCATCTGAAGCCAATGTTTACTGAACAGTGAAAGTAAGGTCATATGTGAGTAGCCTGTAAAATATAGATCATAGAGCTATAGAGCTATAGAGAGAGAGTTATAAAGCAGTATAGAGCTGTAGGGGCCGGAGTGTATAGCTCCGGATCGGAACTTCGGAACTGATAGAGTTCACATCCCGGTGAACCTTTTTTGCCTCGACTATTTCAACCCCTCCTCTGCCCCTCCTCTGCCCATCCTCTTCTTCCTCCTTCAACTACTTCACTTCCAACTATACACGTCTACCTTCGGTACGACTCCCAATGGAGCCGCGCACGTCCACCCTGCGGGGTTGCAGGACAATGTCCTCGCTAAGATGATGAGATGGATCAAGGTATTTGTTCTTGGTATAACAGTCGGTGCACACGCATGACAGGTGTTCGGCTCAACTGGTCGGGGGACCCTAAGCTTAGGACTTCCCTCGACTAGTTGGCCGTTCTGAGATTATACTGTCAAAACTTGATCTAGACAATACTAGCGAAAGGACATGCGTGACTTTGATTGTTTCCCCTTGTGTTTTTGTACTTGGTTTTGTTCACTTCTACTTCCAGGTTCAATTCTATCCAATTATCTCAATTGCTCAGGTCTCAATCGAAGGCATGGGCATGAGCATGAGCATGAGATGGATATGGCCTGGATGTGGATTGGATAGGACTGAGTGCTGTCTCTTTCGGAATACTGACCCAATTGAAGAATAACAGCTTGATCTATCTGCCATCATGTCTACCGACAAGATCACTTTCTTGACCAACTGGTATGCTGACAGTCCTAGTGCCTTTTACTCGTCCCACGTCATTCTCTGGCATTGTTCCATCGATATAGTTCAGCTGGCTAAGTGTTTGTTTATCAAGGCACGCGACCCCGTACCACGCCCCCCTCTACCTCGCCCAGGCCAGAGGCTACTTCAAGGATGAAGGCCTCAAGGTGGCTCTGCTCGAGCCCAACGACCCCTCCGATGTGACCGAGATCATCGGCAGCGGCAAGGTCGACATGGGCTTCAAGGCCATGATCCACACTCTGGCGGTTCGTGCTCTCTTTAGACAATCCGAAAGACCCTTGCTGATTCCCCTCCAGGCCAAGGCTCGCGACTTCCCCGTCACTTCCATCGGCTCCCTGCTCGATGAGCCGTTCACCGGAGTTGTGTACCTCAAGTCCAGTGGTATCACCGAGGACTTCCGCTCGCTGAAGGGCAAGCGCATTGGCTACGTTGGCGAGTTCGGAAAGATCCAAATCGATGAACTCACCAAGTATTACGGCATGACCACAGACGACTACACAGCCGTCCGCTGCGGCATGAATGTCACCAAGGCCATCATCCAAGGCGACATCGACGCCGGCATCGGCCTCGAGAACGTCCAGATGGTCGAGTTGGAAGAGTGGCTCGCCGAGCAAAACCGTCCCCGCGATGACGTGCAGATGCTCCGCATCGACCAACTCGCCGAGCTGGGCTGCTGCTGCTTCTGCTCGATCCTCTACATCGCCAACGACAAGTTCATCGCCGAGAACCCAGAGAAGATCCAGAAGTTCATGCGCGCCGTTAAGCGCGGCACAGACGCTGTTCTTGCCGACCCGGCTACCGCCTACAAGGAGTACATCGATGTCAAGCCCATCATGGCCACCCCCGTCAACCGCAAGATCTTCGAGCGCTCGTTTGCTTACTTCTCGCGTGATCTGAAGAACGTTGCCCGTGACTGGAACAAGGTTACCAACTATGGAAAGCGTCTTGGTATTCTCAAGGATGACTTCGTCTCCAACTACACCAACGAGTACCTTTCCTGGGGCCTTGATGCTGATTCTACTGATCCTACCGGCGACCAGAAGCGCATGGCTGCCCTGCAGAAGGAAGTTGCTGCTGGCGGTGGCTACAAGCGTCTGGAGGTTTCGGCCTCTGCTTAGGTTACTTCCTGTTGGGAGACTGTCCTATACTAGGCTCCGCTCGTTAGCCTAGATTTTTCAATCAAGGAAACTATATTCGCGCTCTTGCCTTCCTTCCACTAGTTCGGGTGAAGCTGCTCCTCATTAGTAGACTAATCTACTCCGTAATTCCATCTGTAACCCAAGCTACTGCCTCACAATACGCCGACCTGTGAGAACATCTCCATATTGCGACTTTCGCAGAAGTAACTTGTCCAAGTGGGTTCAGATCCAACACCGGTGGTACAAGCTATTCCGTCGACGTCATCGGTCGACGTCACGTGACCGCCGTGTATACAGTTAACTAAAGGCGTAACTGTTGATTTCCTTTTTAGGCAAATTTATCTCATAAATAGCTACCTCTAAGACAGACTTAATAGGAAACAGCTCTACCAGATTTGGGGTTCGAGTTATCGAGGGAAATGGCACTGTCTTGTTGTACCATCGGTTCCCTTTCCGATTCCCCTTCCACGCCACTGCTGCTGCCCCAGACCAGCTTGGCCATATGGTAAGGCGCTTCGTTCGCGGGGAAAGGGAGAAATCTCATCTTCAAGGCCATGTTGGTATCGTCCTCCCGGCTGTTGGGCCATGGCTATGCGAGTTAGTACTTGTCCCCGAAAGTATAACTCAGCACTTATCGAGGTATGCGAGACATTGGTAGGTGCCTTGAGCGGTTTGAAAAGGATATTCTCCCGGCACCTCATAGTGATGCTAGTGTTCATAATCAGAAAACCAAACCACCTACCTCAAACAGTTTGGCAGAGATTCTTCAATATCCCTTATAGTGATGTGCTTTTGCGAGAGAATAGTGGAGTTTACTGCAATCGATATAACCTATGCGAAAGGGCCAAATAAGCCATTGATGTTCGAGCTATGTAGCTCAAAATAACATAAGGTAAATGCCACCGGGATAAAACACACCCGATGCACCACATAAAATCAGACATCAAACACGCCCAACACCGCTTGCAAACTCCTGCCTTGGCAGACCAACAGATGCACGAAATCAACAAACCATCATCAATATCAAGGGGTACCAGGTGTATCAAGAGAAACACGTAAACATCATAACAAGTCACAGATTAAACACCGTTACGGTAAATTTGGGAGCCACCGGAGCGAATCTGGACCGTGTCTCGTCGCTGGAGAACCACCAGTGCCCGGTTAAGGGCCTGCTCTGTGTAGTTTTTGCCTTCGACAAACTCGCGACGCAGGGTTGCCAAGCTTGTGCTCCAGCCGATGGGAAGGCGGCGCTTCAGCTCGTCTTCAATCTTGCTGGATGCCTCCATGAGGTCCTTGCTGCCTTGGCCTTCACCCTGAGTAACGGCGTCCATGGTAGATGCGAGGAAAAGGCGGATGGCCTCGTCCACGTGGGCTTCGGTGGCGATTGGAGACAAAGACAATTTGGCGAGAGATTCGGAGATACGGATGATGGCTTCTAGCTGGCGAACCGTAATAGGAATAGATGACCGGTTGTTGGATTCCATCTCAGCGCGGTGTACTTGTTTACGGATGGAGACGAAGTGGGATGAGAGTTTCTCTGCGGCTTCAGGGGAAAGGCGAGGGGCACAGCGACTTGAAACGACGTTAGTAAGGAGATGATGAAATCGTATTGAAAATTGACATACCTGCGACAGTAGCTAATGTAGCGCTTCATCTGATCGACGGGGATTTCAGCCTCAACTTGCTCTTCCACACCGCGACCACCCATGTGAACGCCCATGACGTGGCGGGCAATCTTCTCGTCACGGCCACGCTCGTGGTCGTCGCGGACGATGAAGATCATGTCGAAACGGGACAGGATAGTAGTCTGGAAATCGATGTTTTCGCCAGGTGTCTTGAGATCATCATAACGACCAAAGACGGGATTGGCTGCTGCCAGAACAGATGTCCTTGAGTTCAGGATTGTTGTGATACCGGCCTTGGCGATGGAAATAGTCTGCTGCTCCATTGCTTCGTGAATGGCTACACGGTCCTCGTCACGCATCTTGTCAAACTCGTCAATACAGACAACACCACCATCAGCCAACACCATGGCACCGCCTTCGAGATAAAATTCGCGAGTGGTGTGGTCACGCTGCACGGAAGCAGTCAAACCGGCAGCAGAGGATCCCTTTCCAGAGGTGTAAATAGCGATGGGAGCTGCCTTTTCAACGAATTTCAACAACTGAGACTTGGCAGTACCGGGGTCACCCAGCATGAGCACGTTAATATCACCACGGAGCTTCATTCCATCGGGGAGGATCTTCTTTGAACCACCCATCAGGAGACAAACGATAGCTTTCTTCATGTCGGCGTTTCCGTAGATGGACGGGGCAATGCTTCGAGCTAGCGCGTCATACAAGTCAGGCCTGCGGCTGAGTTCCAAAAATTCCTGCTCCTCTTCCTCGGAGAAAACTCCACTACCTTTGGCTGTCTGGTCTAAATCCGAGCTGATACCAACCGCGCGCAGATAGGGGTTGCGGATGGCAACCGCGGCCTCCTTCTTGCCACCCTTTGCCTGGTAAATCGAGAAAATACCCATAACTGTACAACGAGAACCGGGAACGACTCGGTTGGCAAGATAACGATCCGCGGAAATGAGAACGTGTCGCGGCATTTCACCCACGGGTACCTGGTCAGGGGCCTCTTGAAGCTTGAGAACTTGCTGGTCCACAAATTGACATTTCTCGTGGTGAACGACGTAAGGATCCAAGGGGCAATTTTCACCGGTGCCCTGGTCACCAGGCTCCTTGACTCGACCGCATCGCCGTGGTAGCGACAGGCCAGAGAAACCGCCGTCGACGCTGATATTTTCACTGTGGTCACAACCCTTGCAGCGGATGTGCACGATAGTTGACTTGGAAGATATCGTGGAAGCTCCAATCACAATTCCGGGAATTCTCACAAGATGGGAAATGTTGGTAGCATTCAGATCACGGATGGAGATGTGCGATGCCGAGGAATGGAGGAGCAGCTGGTGGGAGGGAAGTGTAATGTCTCGCTGGCCTGGGTAAACAATTCGCGCAGTGCACTGCTGCAGAGCTAGCTCGAACTATTTGATGTAAGCAGAAGTCAAGTTGGGCGGCGGTATCAGAGACTTACGAGAGGGATGATGTCGCCGGGCTCGGTGGTGAGCTTGTGGGCTAACTCCTCGTTGTAAGAAATTAGATGGGCAATGTCAATATCGCAGTAGTATTGTTTCACAAGAGCATTTTGCCGTAATTGATCACTGTTGCATCATTAGTGGCCGTCGCAGCCTCTGAAATGTTGGATGCGTACCGGTAGATGAATGCATTATCCAGCTGGAATTCCAGTACGAAATCCCGCAGGCGGTTCTGAATAGTCTGACGCGATTCATCGGCGCCATTTGTGCTGGGCGCAAGGACGCTCAAAGTATAGGGGGTGCGTCTATCCATTTTGCAGATGTGGCAGGTTGGGTGGATGAGCGTTGGCGGAAGGGAGTAAGGAACTTTTGTGGAAACACCAACGCGACGCGTCGTAGTTCACGCGTTAAGTGGTTTTGGCCTTGTTTCCGAGGCAGAAATGACGGAGGATTGATAGTCCGGGTATGCGCATTGCGGTTAGCGTGTTTCCCAATTGGGGGTGAGCTGTCATGGCCAGCTCGATCAAAGCCACTACAAGCATTCAACTCACAAACCTTGATCCCCGGACCGAAATCGCGAGTCGCAGGAGCTGACAAGATCAGCATTGGAAGCTGCGCCATCGCCTGCCACAGCACAATCAGAGTTCATCCACTGCCATGATCAGATAACACGGAACATCTCTACGATCGACCCTCCCCCGGTGGCCGTCCGATCTGGCTCGTGGGTGTGAACAGCCATGTCGAACAGTCCGCGGAAATCGATTGATAGCTTGGCATCTGGGGTGTCATCGCCTTCGATTTCATATTCAACAAGCCAGTTGGATTCTCCCCGCGTCCCCCCTCAACGATACCCCCTGAGGAGGGGATCAACGGCGAGCTCTATCGTGAGCATTGGAGGAGTCCTGGACTCTTCTCATCATCATGACTCAATCGCAGAGTCTGGGCAGAATGGTATGTGCTCCGAGTAAGCCAGGATTCTTCTTGCTAACATCTACCTAGCCATTTCGACCCTTCTCCAGCCTCCGATTGTCCGCACCGGTCTTACGGCCCAGAGTGCAGTGTCGAATGCCGGTTACAAGCCCCCATCGTCCCGCGATATACCTCCAGTCACTCTGACAAACATCACACGTGTGGACCCGAAGGCGTTCCAACCATATCTGGCACAAGTGGGCTCATTGTACGATGTGTTCCAACAACCAAAAGAAGGCGTGGGGGAGGACACACAACCGACCCAGGCCGCCAAGTCTCCCAAGCCAGACTCTGATCGCGATTCTTTGATGCCATGGTCCCCGGAGCGGAGATCCTCGGTCATGTCGACCAGTTCACGACCATCTTCACCCTATGATACTCGTGGCCGACGCTCCTCTGGTGGCCGTGGCCGCGGTCTTGCTGTGACCCCCCTTTCCACAATTCCCCAGGTATATTTTGACGAAGGATTCCACCTGGAAAATCCTCGCACATTCGATGTGATATCAGAGAAATCCGACGTGGTTCGACCGCCCAGGCCACCAACCAAGGATGACAAAGGTTCTAATGGGAGCGCCCTAGAGCCAGTTCAAACTGGCAGAAAAGCACTAGCAACAAATGCCATTCTTCAAGAAAAGCTGTCCTGGTACATGGATACTGTGGAGATTCATCTAATTTCGTCTATTTCAACGGCATCAAAATCTTTCTTTACTGCGCTAGGGTCGCTTCGAGAGCTACACGCGGAAGCGGCTGACTCGGTGAACCGGATACAATTGCTGAGGAAGGATTTGCAAAAGATCGATAAAGAAATGGCATTGGGAGGACTTAAGATTGTCAACTTGAGACGACGGAGGGAAAATGTAAGGATGCTGGCTGCGGCAGTGGCACAACTTCGCGATGTGGTCGAATCAGTATCTCGATGCGAGGAACT